TCCGTTGCTAGGATGGCTTTTAAGGCTACTGGTATACTTCAGAAAACAAGTTTCAAAAGACCTGAAACGGTAGTAGCCTACCTTGCAGTCGATTTGACATGCACAATATGAACTTAATATTAATAGAACTTTTGAAGAGCACTACTTACCTAGCTAAAAGTGAAGTGACTTTAATCATGCTGCTATTTGGTTGGGAGTGACTAGCAATGGAACCTAGGATGCACGTCTCATCCAATATGAGGCTTGTCAGCTGAATGTACCTGCACCCCAGCAAGGACGGATGGCGTTCCCCTGGGAGCCGAACCTAGCATCTATCATTTCAAACTCCAAAGAGTGACCCACTAAGCTACTAAGTCACAATAGACACCTCTTACCCTACGAGTACTAGCTGTTATCTATTGATACTTATATCTGTCGTTTGATTGTTACTTTGGACCGAATTGACTCATTTCTGTCGGCACATGAGCTCCTACGCTCAACTGCTAACCAAGGACAACAAAACTGCATTGGGAAGAACATGGTAAAATCAGTAATATATACAATGAAAGGACATGAGTTCCTATTATTAGCTAACCTCAAATCTGCATTTTTAAATAACACACTGTTTCATTGAGAAATTCTTTAGTAGATTTATCAGCAGAAAAAAACTATAGTAAATCAATGAAACACCTCAACGACATACCTAATAACATTGAAAGGCTGACTGACACGAAAAAATAATGAATTTAGCATAAAAAAGTGAAGTCCCTGTCCAAAAACAAAAGAGTGGATATGATGTTTGCAAATACAAAGAAAGAGACGATACAAGTACAGTAGAGGATAACGCTGTTAGTATTGACATGTTATTGGAGGTATCCAGTAAACAGACTGTGCTGTAAACCATCTGTATAAATCTCACTAAGACAATTGAGAAGCATGCAGAATAGAATATTTTTAAAGGATGATTCGCACCATTTTTTTGAAAATGAAACATTCTTAAGAAAGGAAGATTAGCAATTAATCAATATAAGGAGCCAATTTGAAAGAGACTGATTTAGGTCGCTCTTCATTCATTATACTATCAGATAATTAACAAAAGACGATTCACTGAGAAAATTTTCTTTTCGAACCGTCATTTTCAGAAGCTGTATAGTTGTGTTTATAATTAAAACAGAGATATGTGTTCATCAGAAGCTAATGAGTCAATACACGGTCATCCAAAACTGACAACACATTCACGAGGTGATTATGGTTAAGTCAGTACAAGGTTACCAAAACGTTATTTGTAAGGTTATAATAAATAAAGAAATGAATGAGACGTCTTACGGAGATAATGACCAAGGGAAAATGAGAAGTCGGACGTATCTCCTTCAAATGCAAAGATCACGCTTTAACTTTTAACTTGCGGAAGCTTTTGCTGTTCCCAAGGAATTCCTGTGGAATTCTTATCATGAATAATGTAACCATGATAGAGATTCATGAGAATGACTTGTTAATCTGGAGAACCGTCATGTAAGACAGCTCGCTATTCATCTAGCATTAGTGGTGTAGTAGTAAACTAATAAACTTTCTAGAAAACTTGTCATTTTTAGCTAATATGCACACAGTGAAGTGAAGCACACTTTTCTGTAAACAAATCAATAGCAACAGTAGCAGGTGGTGAAAACTAAAACGGCTTTCCTTCATCAACGACACGAAGAGACGTTTTTGATTTCGCGAGACTATGAAGAAGGTTTGGAACAGCTGGATAAGACAAGTATTAATGAGATTTGGGCCTAACAGCCTTATGCAACGAAGTTCGGCAGATGAATATTCATAAACACGATCTACAACCTAACTAATTAAATATAAAAAGGCCAGTACAGTTCACAAGCCTGTCTACCATCACGAAGTGTATCAGTCAATAAGTGCGTTATTGGTTCAGTTGCTTTCCCAACATATTATCCCTCATTAGTTGTGCAAAGACTTACTACCACTGCTTGACTGCATCCTATCTATACTGTAAGTCCCTCAAACCTGGACTCAAATGGATTATATCGCAGTCAGCCATTGGTGGCATGGGTGCATACACAACTGCCTCTCCATACGCAGTACTCGTATGGACTCTGATCACGTTTTAGTGTGTGCTAAGCTCCTTTTGCGTTTTCGTGGTGATCAAAACCATGGTGGTGTAGATCTACTGCCTGAATAACGACAGTTCGGCCTTGAATTTGCGAACAATGTAGTCCTACTGTGCGATAACGCACAGACCATTCAAACTGCACTTAATCACTTGGTGTCTGTAAGTATGGTATTTTCTTCCCAACACTGAAGTGCAAAGTACTTTCGTAAGATTGGCAGGAGTCCATGCCCGCGCTCACCCTCGATGATGAGCTGCTGGAAGTAGTCGAAAAGTTGTTGGTATATCTGGGTAGTTATGAGTGCTAGTGGAGGTTTGAATGATGAAATTTATTGCCACATATCGAAGTTCAGAGTGGCATATGCCAATCTAGACCACCTTTGGTGTCGTCTCGACGGCAGTCGGACATTAAAACGTCAAGCATACAATGCTGCGGTGCGAACATTTCTCCTTAACGTCTGCGAAACCTAGACTTTACAAGCTGAGAATGTTTAACACCTGTGTTCAGTCATCGTTGTCTCCGTAGAACTGCTCGAAAGTGGTGACAGCAACATGCAAGTAATTCTGAGGTACAACATCGTGTTTCGGTATGATGGAGATCGTCATCCAATAAATGAAGTCATTTGCAAACACCAACTTCGGTGGCTTGGACATGTGTTTTGCATGTCGTCCTAATGGCTTTCATACCATTCACTGTTTATTAGGCCTAGGACTGGATAGAAGCGGAATGACGGTCGGTGTATGACGTGGCACTCTAGTCTGAAGGATAAATGTATCGGGTCGTCATCACGATTCCTAGGATGGGGTCCAATAGGTCACATAACTCGGTGGCTTGAGACGTCAACAGATATGGCTCAGATTCGAAAACAGTGGCAATCACGCTGCAGCCTTATCCTATCTTCCTCTGCGGAAAAGTAATGAACGCTCCTTTTTGAATGCATAATATTAGAGCGTCTTTCTAATCATTCTACTCGTTTATTTATTCATTCCCCTTCGCTTTATATCTTCGAAATGATGTTGTATTAGTCCATATGGTGCCCTTGCTGTAACACATTTGGTTTAATAGTAACAGCAATAACATTGGTTGTACTTACTTAGCCAATCCAGGAAATTTTTGATTAAAAAATGCAACATTTACTCAATGCTACTAATTCAACCACTAATAAGTAACCCATATCTTGATACTTTTCTCTGATTAGCTATTTGTTGCTGTCTTGATATTTGCCGTTGTTTGATTGATCGATGCAATGTTAGAATTTTTATGCCTACCTGTTATTGATTGTAGCCTGTTTTGCTATTACACAACTTTGGATGTGAGTTTGCAAATTACTAAATAGAGAGTCATTTATTGCTACGAGAAAGCAAGATAGTCTTCCGAATTAAAACGACTGTCAGATCCGTATATTTAGTTAGGGGTGATACAAGATGGGTATGAGGAATTTTAAATGCTTTTATACAACTACCTTTTGCTTATCTTCAGATACAGGAAATCTAACTGAATACACGTTCAATTTACGCGTAACTTAATTAGTTTGCAGTATTACACTCTCTGATATAAAATTTAGTGAGAACTAAGAATCTGAATATCAACAACCAGGGTTACTTTCTGGTAATCCCACAAACCTCCGACGTTTGATACTTGTATTCTCTTATTACTATGCTAGGTCGAATTGTTCGTCCTCTGTTAGAAGATGGGTTCCCATGAGGATGTCTCAATACTGCCTGACTGTTCATTGTTACCGCCTATCTGGTGGCTAGCAGTTAAACCAAAAATTCGCTTTTCGTCCGACTTGAGACTTGTAAGCTGGATACACCTGCACCCAGTGAATGATATTATTCCCACTGAGACTCGAATCCAGTAACCATCGCTTCAAATGTAAAAGCGTTATTTAATCGGTCACTGTAATGTTTGAAGCCATGGTTACTGGATTCGAGTCTCAGTGGGAATAATATCACTCACTAGGGTCCAGGTGCATCTAGCTTGCGAGTCTCAAATAGGACGAAACGTGCATTTTGGGTTTAGCTGCTAGCTACCAAGCGCATGAAACTAAAATCACATTAAAATCAGTTGCTCACATGTGACTTAAATCGTAATGGATTTCTCATATTTTTAGTCAGATGTTACTTGTAGGGCAAACCAATGACACTGAATGATGGACACAAAATGTCACAGTGACAAAATTTTGGAAATATAGATCATGGGATTCTGATCCAGCGGTTGGGTCGTAATGTTTTTTCTGTGACATAATGAACCTGAAATCAATCCCATGCGACTTGGTAGAAGTGGGCAGTTGGGCATAACCGAACTAGTATGAAACAGTTATCCAGTGCTCTTAAGTTTTCAGTGGTTTTCCAAATGATGTCAGTTTGTCATGAAAACTCCTTTTTCTAAAAGTAGATTACTTCCTACTACTAAAATACAGTTACGCAATAATCTGTGGAACATTCATTGGCAAAACATGAAATGCTGGCTGGAGACCCAACTTAATCATTTCAATCTGATCAATACGACCAAATAAACTAAAAGTTAGTACACAGTACGCAAAACCAATACCTGCTTTTTTAGACACAACAATCTAGAAAATAGGGTCGAAATGCACTCAGCAACCTTGTGCACATTCCTGCAGCAGGCAATGAGCCATACCTATTGAAAGCAAATGGTACTGCCTAGTTGCCCAAACCTAGTTAGTTAGAGCAGGCTTGAATCCGTGGCCCATTGGTTGAAATTCATCTCCCCAAATCCACAAACTACAGTTCAATCGACAATCTAGAAATTAAACAGAACTATGATCACATATTTAAAGTTATCAGTCCACCCTTCCCGATATGTGTCACTGAGAAAACAAACATTGAACTATAAATCGAGACTATTTATTTTCTTTACATAATAAACTAAACATCTCTTGATAGTCAAGGAAAGAATTTCGGTTTCCTCAAACCATAATCCCACGGGACTCCAGTTCGCTTATGATATGGTTCATATATATCATTTGGATAATATTTTGGTTTCTGCCATTGCTTGTTGAGCATATTATCTAATAAGAATGAAGTTGCACGACTTGTGAGAATGTGTTCAGAACGTCGAGATACCTCAGCTGCACTTCGTCTGCGTAGTACATGAAGAAAAAATATGTACAAAAAGAATTATGGTATATACATTACTAAAAATTTAACCGCAGATCAACAGATACCTCACAGTACATTCTCCGGATATGAGTGCAGTAAAGAAGGTGGTATAAAAGCATTGCAGAACTAGGCTGAATGGAAAAGCCTATAAAATTGTACTACAGATCATCGGTCTGACATGCCGTGTTTTCTAACAGTAAACATTTGACCACAGTAATAAGGATTCGAAAGAATAAGCAAATGACTTGAAGTGAATGAATCTAGAGATGGAATACTTATCGTGATGTGAGCTACGAAAAATTTCTTTTACTGCTGACTTGCATTCTATAACCAAAACCCTCTGGACTACTCATAAAAATAGCATATATACACTTAGTAAGTAAAAATTAAGTCAGTATTAACAGAGATCAAGGTACTTGGTTCCAAATCACCTTCTTAAAATATTCTAAACCTACAATTGCATATCGAAGTAAATAAAGGATGCTGGAATATGTGAAGAATATTATTAAACCTTTGTTAATTTGTCAACCACTCCTACTTGAAATCCCCTAACATCAATGTTGATCATTGTATCGTTCAAATAAGAGATGCTTCAGTGATACAAATAATATCCGTTTCGGTCATATTTGAGAGAAGTATAGAAATTCTGGACAGCATGCAAACCCAAACGTGGGAAAACAACTTGTCAACTCAACCCTATCAGTTAAAATATCTTAATCAAGCCTTCTTCATTAGTATCGAGATTATAACTAAGACTAACTTACAAAAGTAGATGTAAATGTTCAGATAGATGATACAGTTCGCACATTGTGGTGTAAAACACTCAGTGTACTTATTTAATGTGCTTGTATCTGATGTAAATCACTCAAATTTTAGAGGAATATCAACTTTCTAAATACTGGAGGTGATGACAGAGGAAAACCATTTTTATCTCTTTCGCTCTGTCGGTCAAAATTCAAGAAATAAGATATTACTTCAGCCCTAACACCTCTTTATGTGCTTGTTAAGCTGTTATGTTTGAGCAGACTATAAACTAGATACTCTTCAAAATAGCCTAAAAATGACATACAACCCAAGATAATTTCTTATTCTTAACTAACAATGCTGATCATAATAAGAACCTTGACACTATAAAGTGAAACGATGTCCCACTAATAGCTTAGTTAATCTCAACCCAGTACCAGATATTATATGTGAAAATGTTGTGAAGAACAAAGTCTCCTCAAAGGATGAGAACGTAGACAACTATTTTTCAGCAGTTAAACTCGAATATTTCGGTCCACTGGGTATACTAATTTTTAAAATATAACAGTGGTCCAGTAACTTTTACCATAAACAAAAGTTGGGCTGTCGTTGAAAAGCTGTAACACAACAAGACCCTTGAAGGCGTTAAATGACTTCGAAGGTCTAGGATTCACGAAATCAGTGAACAAAGGATACTCTTGCTAATAAATGATTAACAACAGCAACAAACGATTTCGCAGTTGAAGAATCTTTATATGGAACCCCGAATTGAAACTAAATAAAATAACTGTTAAAGAGATAAAATGCATCATAGACTGATAACTGTAAAACCAATGAACACCAGTGACTACTGGATACCTTTTAAGTTCCAGTAAAAAAATTCAGCACTGTACAACTACAACTCTACTTATCAAAGTATCCACATAAGACTGAAGTGAAATTTGATGTTCCACGTTTAGGAATATTTGTTGATTTCCAATACAGTGGAACCACTAAAATGTAAACAAATATTTTCTCGCGCGTGAACCACATATGCTCCAGATAGGTAGTAAATATCCGATTGCGCTATTACGTTTGGTGAGAAACAAAAATACAACACAATACTAGATTTGAGTCCCAGTGGGAACAATACCACTCACAGGGGTGCAGGTATATCCAGCTGACGAGCCCCAAATAGGACGAAACGAGAGTTCTGGATTCCTCAGGTAGTCACTAAGATGAATATAATACAGTAAAAGAATACAACAATACAGGGGTTTTATATATATATATATATATATATATATATATATATATGACTCACCGATATAGATGTTTATCACGCCCAGCTCGTGCATGAATATATGCACCCCAACGCAAGCGCTTGAACCTGTCAATGACATCCTGATTAGGAGGGTTGTAATCTCCAGTTTCTGTGAAATACTTTTTCACCTCTTCACTTCTGCGGTATAGACGACGTGTCTGGAACATACACCAGTGACTCCTGGAAATGTATTCGGAAGTAATCAGGAATAAACTTCGGATTAATAGACTACAATTGCTCATGTATGGTAGAACGTGTGTTTTATAAATAGAGGTCATGATATCTGTAAAATAGTTAACAAACAAAATTAACATAGTCTGGTTTAACTACTGAAAGGTTTCAGCTGCAAGACTTCGTATTAGCTCATTAAAGTGGTAGTTAGTAATGGGAAAGTCAATAAGTGAAAAGATAATATTAACAGCAATAAAATGCCAAAACGTATAAACAAGAACACCCAAAGGTACTTAGGAAATATGAGGCTACAGCTTAGATGATGAGAAGTGGATGAATCTCGACCACTGCAATTGAGCGTAACTCAACACAAAAGTCTAGAACTACGAATCTTAGCCGTCTACAGAATATCAACCATGACGTCCGCAGTTTTCTACACAGGTCACACCAACAGTTGGATATGCAGATACACAAAACAATCAATTGTCTCAACTGTAAAAAACGTGTTATAACCTAGTCAAAGTTTGCATTTTACATTTTAGTGTTAGTATTATGACTGGCTTTTATTACTTGCATATTTTTCGTGGATTTATCGTCTGTAGTATAGGATCAATTCAGATAGGTAACCTACTATGTCATCAATGCTGCAACTGTAGCTACAATTTCTGCTCAATGAGGAGAATTAGGATGGATAACTGAATCTCAGCGACATTGGAGACTGAAGTATACAGAAAGTCAATTCATGCGGATCAAATCCTCAATTACAGCGACAAAAATCCAACAAACCCCAAAATGAGTTACATGAAAACATTTTTCAAAAGACCGAAGACACTGTATTACATTGAAGTTATGGAGAAAAGAAGAAAACTATTTAATATCTGTTTTCCAGCAGAACGGCTATCCAGGCAACTTCATCAAAAGATGTTTGTCTAACTCGATGTCAGTCAGAAATTCATCCATAGAAATCAACGAACGGATCGTCCTACCTAACAAGAAGAACGTCTTTTAGATCTCTACCCGATTACGGAAGCTTTTTGAAATCACTGTAGTCCACAAGCCAACAAAATCTCCTGACTCTGTTATGCAGGCCAAAAGATACAATAGCAAAAGAAAGACAAGTAAGACATTATCTACAAAATAAACTATAGAAAATAAGAAGAACAATATATCGGACACAGCGGTTGGCCTCTTCGTATCTGTCTAAATGGACATCAACTGGTAGTGAAGTATCGTGACATATCTATCTTCGCTCATATCGATAAACAGAGACAATTGGGGAGATGAACTCGACTGAGTAAATGTAGAAACCCAGAATAGAGAAAATACAAATACAGAAAGAATAGTGAGACTCCCCGCTCTCTTTGAAATCCTCGCTTACACAACCACTGACTGCAACCCGAATGTAGTGAAGGACGAGTTCTCTTCTTGAAAGCCAAACGTTCGGAAGTGGTGGTTGTTGCAGGTGACTTCAATACTAAAGTGGGTAGACTGAGTGAGACAGAAAGGCACTTAGGTGGTACTTTCGGAATCCCGACTGAACGAACAGATAACGGTGATCGCCTATTACAACTAGGCTCAGATAACCGCATATTTTTAGCCAGCACCAACTTCAGACATAAAGAAAGACACTGTCTGACGCGGCGTCCACCGAGTTCAACTCAGCGATGGACACAGATAGACCACATTGCTATTAGTCATCGCTGGAGAGGATAGGTGGAAGACTGTCACTCCTTCTAGAGTACATGCTTGGATAACGACCACGTGTTGGTCCAAGTGCAAATATGCCTGCGTCTCAATGGACGTAGGAAAAATCTGGCAACAAAACCACTACGAGTGCTGCTGGACAACAAAAACACCAAAGCTGCGTTCAGTGAGAGGTTGGCTAGGCAGTTATCGAAAAAAAGACTGTCTCTCATCCAGAAGAAGCTTGGTGTCATCTCCAGTCTGCTGTAAAAGCAGCACTGAAGACCGTAGCCAACTCCAAATGAATGGCTAAAGAGAGCCAGAGGATATCAGCAGCTTCTTCCAAACTAATGGATGCACGTGAACGCATCCATGCAGGCTCTGAGTACAATAAAGAGCGAGCGCAACTTAAAAATATACTAATGAAAAGTCTGCGCAACGATCGTGAACAGTGGTGGGCAGTGAAGGCTAAAGAGATGGAAAAGGCAGCGGCAATCGGTGACAGTAGACAGTTATTTAGACTTATTAAGGAGACTGTGGGGAAAAGATCAACAACAGTTGGTGAGGCTATAGCGGAGAAGGACGGATCTGCGATTCACTCGCAGGGGAGACGACTGGAACGATGGGCAGAACACTTTGAGGAACAGTTTAACTGGCCTCCAGCCACCATTGCGTTGCCCGCTATCCAGTCGGATCCTGAATGGGACATAGAGACAGGCCCCCCAACACTATAAGTTGAGAAAGCGGTAGGTAACCTGAAACGAGGAAGGGCAGCAGGACCAGACGGACTACCTGCTGAGGTATACAAGAATGGTGGTGGAGTGCTCTTAGTCAGGTTAACGGAAGTGTTAGCCAGTATATGGGAATCAAATACGATCCCCTCCGACTGGTCTAAGTCACTCATCATCCCAGTCTTCAAGAAAGATAAGAAGTCCTCTTGTGATAACCACAGAGGAATCAGCCTGACGAACATAGTATCCAAAATCCTAGGTTCTATAATTCTTCGATGCCTGATTGGAGCTCGAGAACAACAAGCCCAAGAAAACCAAGCAGGCTTTAGACCCGGTTGCGGGTGTATCGACCAAATATTCACACTGCGCCAGGTCCTGGCACACAGACACGCTTACAGACGCCCGACAATAGCTGTATTTCTCGACCTGAAGGCGGCATTTGACTCCGTTGATCGAGAAGTTTTATGGCAGTGTCTCTCACTGAAAGGCGTGTCGAGTAAGTACATCACCTTATTGAAAGCTCTCTCCTTGAACACTTGTGGGCATTTTAGAGCCTATGGTGAGATGTTCAGGGAGCTGTACTCGTCGGGTGGTGTCCATCAAGGCTGCCCACTCTCCTCATTCTCATTCAATTTTATCACAGATATTGTTATGGAGGTTTCCCTCTCGTCACCTGATTACACAGAGGTTGACCTAATTACAGGAGGATTTTCGTTAGACCTAGAATATCCAGATGATGTAGTCTTGTTAAGTGAAGATGCCGAAAAGCTGCAGAGTCTTCAGAACACTTTGAGTGGCAATTTGAGAATGTTTGGGATGCGTTTCTCACCACCCAAGTGCAAATTGTTGCTCCAGGATTCGTCTTCAACGGTGCCCCCACCTCGGCTAACAATAGAGAGTGAAGTGGTTGAGTATGTCGACCACTTCACTCACCTGGAAAGTAGGATCAGCCACGGTAAGTTGGTCAGTGGCCGATGAAATCTGTTCACGGATACGAAAGGCTCGGTTGGTTTTTGCCAACCTACGCCACCTGTGGCGCCGCCGTGATATCCGAATGTCCATTAAACGTCTCGTGTACTGCACAGCAGTCCGGTCTGTTCTACTATATGGCTGTTAAACATAGCCATTGAAGGTGGAAGACATGAGAAGGCTTCAGGTTTTGACCACCATTGCTTTCGTAGTATAGGCCGTATTCTGTGGTGTCACCACGTGAGTAACTCAGAAGTCAGGTTAGAGTTTTTGGGAGTAGAGGTAAATCTGTTGACAAGGTTATGAACCTTCATCGATTGAGATGGTTGGGACACGTGTTACGTATGCCTTGTCACACAATGTTGACCGAAGTAGGTCTAGGCTGGAGAAAGGCCCGAGGTGGCCAGACTAAAACATGACATCAGTGTATGAAGTCTTCGACTGTTGGTTTGAGCCAAATGGGGCGATGCAGACTAGGTGGTTGGGGTTTGCAGGACAAGAGGAACCAGTGGTTGGGGTCTCTAGGTGATATGGCTCAGAACCGATATCAGTGGCGCAGATGTATACACATATTATCCTCATCTTAACGACGCTATAGCGAATCTCACCACTTTCTAATTCTTCCTTTCTCTCTTTTCGTACTTTATATTTCTTTCGACTGAATTTCCTGATCATTCTCTTGCTCTTCACTGCCTTTTTACTTGATGTACTGATATGAGGTGTGGGAACTCGAACCGTTACGCAGTAATGCCTGGTCCTATCCTGATATCGATGATGATGATGTGTGTTCCTTTAGTAGGGAATGACTACTGGTTTCTAAGCTGCATATTTATCAATAGATAAATAAAGAAGTAGTAAGTCGTACAAGTGTTTCATAATGCCTAGGAAGTGAAAATGTTGTACTCAAAGGTAATTTTCAGCAAATTTTTACAGAACTATGAAGGTGGTAAAAAAAAGTCCATAACAAAAATAACTATTTATTTTGCAGATTCGAAATATACTACTTTCAGTAGAATTACAACATATGATAAATTTAAGCGGAAAGAAAATGAACATCTAAGAATGACCATTTCCCGAAAAACATCTGAACAAATATATAGGTGTTAATTCACCACATCCCATGAGTGCGAAGGTGTCTTTGGCTTTCAATCATTTAAGATTAGTACATATTCAAATAACGGATGAAAATAAAAGAGATAAAGAAAAACAGTAATTTAACAGCATTCGTAAAATGGACAACTATCCCGCAAAATTCACTCGCAAAATGCGAAATAAACTAGATTGTGAAAGTACTCCTAAATCATGAGCCACAACAATGGTCAACCCATAAAGATCACACACCTTGGATGATATTAGAAGAGTGACCAGCAAATGCAGTATTAGTGTTCTACAGAACATTGTAGAGTACCCCAGTTTATGTAAAAACGGAATTACCCTTAGGTTCACAATCTACCCGCGTTTATAAAATAAAATTATCGGACCACGTGGTAATATACATTGGACAAACTTCGCGTAGGATAAAAGTTAACAAAAAGGAAACCAAAAGGCATCCACTCGACCCCTTAAGAAATCTAGTAGAGCTGAAAAAGCTTGCAAACACTTGAGCGATATTTCTAAATTCTATCATTTTAGGTCACAAGGTCAACTTTGACAATATCGAAGTTATTCAGAAAGGGTTTAGAAATAATGAAGAACGTTTCATATCAAAATCTTCCCACATAAAGTGTAATTAAAATTACAGGAATGAAGAAATAAAACCCAGCTTGACCTAGTTTCAACCCACTCCCATATACTGATACGCCCAACACATGAAATAAGAACCACAAGCACATGTGTATATACAAATCTCAATCTGTAATTCACATACTCATCACACATAACACACAACATATGAATATATTTATTCGACAATTTGACAGAGCAGAATCATCTCTCTAGAAAAACTCAAATCAAGTTATCACATATAAGCTTGGATATCATAATTTTCGGTTTTGATCTGGCTAAATGTCGGTTAAAATAAATTAATTTTGCTCTATATTGATTGAGAAATACAAATACGACAATAGTGTATACATGCAGTAGTTTCTGGGTTCTAAAACCTATTCCCTTAGAAATCAACCATCGTCAGTGAGGTTGTGGCTCATTGGTTTAAGAAGAGAACTTTCGATTAATGGGCTATGGGTTGGAACCCCACACTCAGGTAGTATCATTAGCCTTCACACAACGGGTATGGCTCATTGCCAACTGCACGAAAATGCACATGGTGGATAACTGCATTTCGATCGATCTAACTATCGCCATATAAGCATAAACGTATGCCTAGATCCATTAGAAACAAAGTGGGTAGAAGTGAATCAATCAAATAAACTTGGTTCACTAAACTTAAATTAAGTTGTCGTATATGTAAACAGGGTTGAAAATGGAGCACGTCGATTCATCACACCAAAAAAACTTCGATTGTGTGCGTAAACTTCGAAAAATAATTGGAAACTAAATATAAGCGCAGTTTCTTTAACTCACTTTACTAAATTTGTGCCGTTTGAGTCGCGTTTATTTTCAATTTTAACCACACAAAATTCAATAAGAAGTATCGTGCGTCATGCAAACAAAAACAGTTGCCAAACAGTGTAAGTTAACAGTAAACCACTTACCCTGGATTTGAAAGAAAGCTAGTAGTAACAAAAGGCCCAATTATTGGCAACGTTGTTGAAATAGATCGCAATGGAGATGTGAATTGCACGGAAAATTGTTTTAAGTACAATGGTGAGGTCATTTTAACCGCCATATCTATAACATAAGGAAATGAAATGACAATCATGTAATTAATTATTGAAAGGGAGTCGATAAATTCAATAAAAATATAGATAATGATAACAGGCATAACACTACTCATGATCAGTTCTTAATGTGTTTTATGACAGATAATCCTGGATGTCTACTGCCTGTATTAATCGAAAAACTGGACTATAGTTACTTTTCACAACATTCTAACACAACTGATTGCATATTGCTGCCTCTCAGGCATATGCTCACACACACATACACTGGCAAACTGACAAACGAAATGTCATGCAACCTTTTATTTGCTTGGCTTGATACTGAAGTATCGATCTTATTTAATTTTAATTGAGAAACACGGTTTACTGATAACCGGTTAAATCCCACTTGCCAAACAAAATATTACTTGCGTAATTTCAGAAAAGACGAACATGGACTTCCCTCCAAGAGTGAGTAAAAAATTATTCTCTTCGATATAATACGTCCTTCCTATTTATTGATCGTTTTTCATATGCAGATATTCGCTATCAAAGTAACAGTTATATTTTTGTCTTTAATAATAACCACGTGCAAATCTGCTTTGAGAATAATTTGCACAGCAATAAACATAATCTATGCAAAATAAGATGCTGTCGTGTGCAGTTCGACATCATACAGATGAAAAGTCTTCCTTTGAACGATCAGGAAATGTAGTTATTCTTCTGACTTTGCGACATAAGGTTAATTTCATTTCCTACCGCCTTCGATATTTACCGGTTATAACTGTACTTTACAATACCAAACTGAACGAGAAGAAAGGCTGCGTAAGAAGACGGTAGCAAAAACACGAACAGTTATGATAACTGAGCGACAGGTCATCACTGAAGCAGACCGATATAGAAGTTGACCTTCGCTACACGTCGGTACACATTAAATAATAATGAAAAAATCTCATATTACTGTACAGCAGTCCCATTTTTCTCCAATGATCACCAATAATTAATCAACAGACTAAAATCCCATCGTCTAACAGTAATTAGAAATTACGAAGATATCCTAGTGGGAAATAGACCGCTTTTTACTGAGAAATGACCAAGGATGAAAGTATCCGATACCATCTTATTGTTCCTAATAAACATGAAGTAATTTAAATCCAATTACAAGAAACGCGTACGTGCCAGATGCAAATTGAGTTCACAAAAAGGATGAAATATATATTCAATAGTTATTGATCTAATATGATCACTAAACTGAAACTAACTTATCATCAAAATTAAATTTGAGCACGCGTTAAAACAAACTTGAAAACTAAAGTGATCAATAGTTCATAAGAAACGTTTACAACAAGAAACAAAAAATCAACTTTATTGGTCAATATTCATTCATTCTCTTCACTCATATACTGATCCAACAAACAATAAAACAATGAAAAAGAGGAAAACTAGTGCAAACAACTGTATTATACTGAGTGAATTGTAAAAGTACATCCATAAAACTCACTACTATCGCTACTGAAATAAACACCACCATCAGTAGACATGTCAATGACAAATTAAATTCAATAGGAAATAGAAAATAGTAGATCAACTGAAGAACAATCACGGTGAATAAGTATTTTTTTAAAATAAAATAAAAACTAAGCTAAAGATAAAAATCAAAAGTTAAAATTAAACACAAAAATACAAAGAGACCACAAAATACCAAGTATATTGTCATCATTATCATCATGTTCACGCCCAGTCGATGTCGATTATGCCAGAAGTATACATGTACACATGTAGTGTAGTGATAAACAAAGGTCAAAGAAAGTAATGTTAATAACACTAACAAAAAATAGCTACATTGGAATGCATATTTTGGATATTGATAGTCTTACCAAAAGTTGTAATTTTTTCGGCACAACGATCATTAATCACAGCGCGATATAGAAATTGAATGATAGCTGAATTCTCATCCATTATATAAAGTAATATGCCATTAATGCTTATATGTACAGCAGTAATAATAGTAATAAAGGCAAAAACAAAATATTTATATCAAAAGGAGAAATAAAATGATTAGAAAATCAATTAAAGCATAGAGGAAGACGATTTCCTCCTTGTTATCAATAAAAACTGCTTCACTGAACTGATCACAGAAATGATATGTATGCAAGAAATAAGTGTAAAGAAAACTTACTTCTCAAGAACAATCAGATCAAAAGTATGAGCAAAATGTATACAAAAAAACAGCGAATATAAGTGATATGTATTTGGTTGATTGACTTATTTCCCCCAGTTCGAGAGTATATTTCAACTATGTTAGTACGGTAATATGATATTAGTCGATAAGTAACAGTGTAATTAAAGTAACAACACAGTTACGGGTGAATTAGATTCCAGGATAATTTGGCATTAATGAAGGATCCAATGCTCGATACTGATGATGCATATCACGAGCATTATTGTTCATATCAATCTGTTTAGCCATATCAGCTAACTGATTTCGAAATCTAGAAGGCATCAAGAAAAGAGTAGACAAGCAACTGAATAAACAGCATGAAAGAAATATGTATGACAACTGAGACTTGAAATGAATTTGGACACCGCAAGCAAGATGAGATTCGCAGATCAAAGTGATATCATTTTATTTTACGAATACTCCTCAGCTGCATATAGTCGAAAAGTACAATGGTTATTGAGTCATACAATACAACAGGATCACTCATAGTCACCAAGGAAGTGGGAGAATAGTCACACTCTATATGTACAGAGGCCCGATAGAAGTGTTCTATAGCGATGGTTTCCATGAAGCGCAGTAATCTAGACATTTTCTGTACGTTTATTGTTTTAAAAGTATTCTACGTTTCAACCTGATGTCCTGTGTGTACGAGGTGTCTAGCATTTCATTTTAGTCTGTTTATTAGAATTGTCACATAGTGGAACAGTATTATTTACTGGATAACGTTTCGGACATAATTTATTGTCCACATTCATATCAGGACAATAAATTATACCTAAAACGTTATCCAGTAAATAATACTGTCTCACTGTGTGACAATTCTAATGAACAGACTAAAACGGAACTACAATTTACCACAGTCCCTAAGGTGTGTGGCAGTTACACTGACTGGAATCTCACTTGCTTTCAAGTACAGATTCTTGAGGATATGTTCAACGAACCAAATGGTGGATACCCTCTTCTCAGTCCTTTTAAAGTACTTTCTACTGCAAGTGCATGTGAATTCGCAAACGCAGTTGGAGATGACATGACAAGGCTAGTTATACAATTTGAACTGATTTAGCGAGCATGTGGTATTGTATACTGATATAATGTTTAGCTGCAGGAAAGCACCCTCTCAGTGCTTCTTTCTTACATTGATATGATTATATGCAACAAAGTGCCCAAGTTTTAGATTTATATTAATGTTCCTTTCTTACATTTCCTACCTTTATTAAATCAATAACTCTCTCATATATTATATGATTTACTGATAATTTCGTTGCATAAAATGTGATTATTGGTTTTCCAATCTTGAAATACCTCAATTTCTAATAACTATTACACTTTTAGACTGTATGCAGCTGAGGAGTATTCATGCAACAGAATGATATCATTCTATTCAGCAAATCGTGTCCTTCTTGCTTTTTCCAAACTTATCAAAGTATCTAAATGCATGAAATACTTAAATGAATACTCGAACAGCAAACACTACATCGTGATTTTAGACTGCAGTGTGGAATACTGAAACGTCAGCTATGAAAAGCGACACCATGAATAAACGTTACATCTTTTTTCAAAACGTTGTTGAAAGAAATAAACCTTTATTCTTTTGAATATAAGCTGAAGACTGTGCATATTCATGCGAGCGTGTTCCAGTTCAACTATTATTATCATTTATCGTTTTAAGAGTATATTTTAATATAATCCCAACGTGCTTTTATTTTTGAAACACGTAGGGATTATTGAAGCAATGGTGTCGAACGTTGTATTTCACCAGAATTTTCTCTGCTGATTCTTCTGAATAAGTCGAAAAGACTAGATCATAACAAATCGAAGTCCCATTACTAGTGAACAGTATCTTCAGGTTCTGTAAACGGATATGCCTTATATCTCTATTATTTCAGCAATCAAATAAGTGTAGATCTAAACTAATCGAAAACAGTTTAAGCACTTGTGTATTTTGGGTAATTTCCCGTAGGGCTTCACAATTATACAATGAAGATTATTCACTATTGACATTTTCACCGTTATCATTCATAAAATACAACTTGGAGTATATAAGTTAAAGAATAGCAGCGACAAAACCATGTAAAAGTTTATATAATTTAAGCAACCAGCCATTATGGATGTTTCAGTGGACTGTGCATCCGCGTAGGCGTAAAGAGAGGAATAAATTATTGTTGCACAATAACTGGATATACCACTGTTTGAATGTTTGAAATTAAGGGCGAGATATGAAATCAAAACACAATGCAACGATAATGGAACAAAGATAATATTTGAATTTATCAGGTTCGAATGGAAATTATTATTATCATCATTATTATTGCAAAAGTAGCCTACGTAGAGCAACTTGTAAAGCTCATCCTGACGTATTGGATGTAGGGTTTTCTGAACATGTTGAATAGAAAACTGAATACGTTTGACGCTTTGGCGCTGACTGATGAGATATTTGACCACCTGTTAAAGGACGACTATACTGCGCTGTAGTCCATTCTGTCCTCTTATACGGCTGTGAGTCATGGCCGTTGAAAGCAAAAGATATGCAGGGACTACAGTTTTCCGAACACTGCACTGCTTGCATACTGTAGAATCGCCATTTGAGCAACATAGAGATTGGGCGAAAGCTACTAGACAATGACGGAAAGTCAGTCGATGAGGTCGTAAACCTTTAGTAATTGAATTGACTTGGACATGTGCTGCACACGGCGAGACACCACCTACCTCCAACTCCAATGTATTAGGTTGGAGTAGGGTTCAGCGTGCCAAAACCAAGACGTGTTACTACTCCATAAAGTGACTGACCTTTGCTCTGAGCCGTACAGGAAGGTTCAGACTACCTGGCTGGGGTCCCCGACACGATACGCATCCGCAATCGCAGACTCTTAGTGACTCGGCTGATAATCGGTCACAACGGCGTAGATGTATTCACCGCTTAAATACTTTCACTAACCTTCATTTTAGAAGTCAGTCTTGATGTCAGTCTTTTTTCTATCCACTTGTTCTCTGTTTGATACTGTGAAGTGTGACAACTTGAACCGACGCACCTTTGTATGAGTTTTTACGATGATTTCATCTGTCTGTCATGACCTGCTAAAACATTATCCAGCGTGGTTACACCAAAAAACAATAAAGATCATGGAAAAACCTGAAATAAGTCCAAGACGCCTAGTGGATACAGACCACAAGATTGACAAGACTTTACCATTTGCCAGTGTATCAAGAGCAGCACCGGAATTCTGTAGTTTTGTGTATACTTCCGACTAACTACGAGTAGCAGGTGTGATACCGATTACAGTTTTCCAAGTAAGTTTGTCGTTCAGATAGTTTATTCAGCCCCTTTCCGTCTTATGGTCTTTACCTTCGACTAAGATAAGAATTACAACCATTTTCATATTTAGTCCATAGGTTCCATAGGTGATTCAGCATCAAATCAATCTAAGTAACTACGATACGACAATAATTTGTGTATCTTTCTACATGTATACAATGACTGACTTACCACAAAGACCATCAAAACAATGATATGACTTTCGTACTAAATTACTAGTATTATAATTATTATTATTTTTCATCTATTCACTGATTCAGTTCTCTGCTGTTATTAGATACATTACTATCATAGCAGGTTGTGCATTAAGAAAGTGAGAACAAATATGCTGAAGTGACCTGTCACCTATAATCAAATCGCTTTTCTTTTGTTTTTAGTATTAACACATTTGATAGAGAAGTAGTGCATACTTAAAATAAAGGACGAATACTGTAGTAAGTGTAACACACTTGATATCAAACTACTGTTCAAATAAATACTAGTTATGCTCTACTGATCTAAACACAAAGTGGTCATCTCACCTGTTCAAAGACCCGATTATCAGTAAGGAGTATGAATGAACACAGAACAAACAAATTGTAAGATTTCAAATATATAAAGATTCCCATAACACTAAGCAAAAGTAAAAACCTGAAAGAAGAATATTCTTCTCAATAGATTCTCATGAGGTTCTACAGACATAAAATGGATTTGTACACGGTAAAAACAAACCAAGTTAGGGGTAAATACATTTTTCAAATGGAGTGAGATTGTAAGGAAATCAATTTCCCTTTTAAATTTGTCAATATCGGGATGATATATATGAATGATGTGACAGTAAACGGAAATACAACGAATAAAGAAGACAGGAGTGGTCGCTAGTTGACTGATGACCAAGGGAGGAAAAGCCTTTGAACATGTTATTTCTAAGTGCAGAGTTCAGGTTTCATCAGTCTTATTGCAATGGCCTCCGCTACATTAAGCAGACGTTGTTCAGCTACACGTGGTGCACCTAGTAGACACAAGGCATCATATACATACTAATAAATCTTTCAATGTTGTTCATCGTATTCTAAAAGCGATACCATATGTAGCTCTTCAATGCACGCTCAACATAGCGGAGATTGTCGCCATATGGTTGATCAAACCTGAACTCTACATTCAGAAGGAACATGTCCAAGCCGTACTACCCCCTCGGTCTTACGTAAACTAAAGATCACTCTTGTCTTCTTTATGGGTTGCATTTTTTCCACTATCACTTCATTCATCTATATTTGTGTCATCCCAATATTGAGAAACTTAAAAGAGGAAAATCGATTTCTTCATAGTCCCTAAATCTTACTCCATTTTGAAAATGTATCTGCCTCTAACTTAACTTGATTTCACAATGTACAAGTGGAGTTTATAATTGCAGAAGCTGGTGAGAATATTCTTCGTTCACATTGTTGCTTTTTATCATCACATTAAATGTTATCCGTTCATTGACATACTCATATTTGAATTCTATTCATCATATCAGTGTCAAATATACTATGTGCAGGAGCTTTACCAGATACTGCCGAAAGTACATATTTGCTTAGTGTTTTCCAGACAGTTAAGCCGGATAAAATTCTACATAATGCTTCTATAATTTATCATTCTATTCGACAGATAGATGAAAAAAAACAACTTTACAGAATTACAACTGACAAAAAAAAAGAAACAAAATGTAGGTATGCATATGTGCAGATGATGTGGGGACAAGACCGATTAGACAGTAAGAAACTCATGCTTCAAACTGATCTACTCAGCCACCTTTCGCACATGCATGCACCAGGTAATGAAGCCACACCCAGAGTGTGAGGGTTAGTGATACTATCCGGGTGTTCAAACCTCCGTAGGTGGAGCAGGGCTTGAACCCATGACCCGATTGTTGGTAGTCATCTCCCCAAGTCAATGAACTACAGCCCCATAGCTCAAGCTGCGATACATTAGTTAACATTAAGACAGTTAAGCAAATTTGCTGATTGTCTTTACAGCTTCTTCATTTATAAGGGCATTGATGACTACTGTTTAAGGTCAGTAGCCGTTAGTTTCTAGACAACTTTCGATAACTTCACTTTATTATAATAAGGGTAACGTAACAAAAGAACCCTCATATCCATTACTTTTCTGCCGTTTAATTTAGCAAAAAGACACGAGTGAATAAGGGCTGAGCACGCATGTCTAGTCACAAAAGAGATAAAAACTGTCGACCCGATTATAGGCTTTAGAGAGAGAAAATATGTCAAAAACAAAAATTGTCTTGAAAAAAAGTTACTTTCACGAACAAATAAAACTAGACAAGCTATTCATGATTATATCACCAGGTGACCTTGTCGAAACGGCAGTCAATAAGTGAACTAACTGAGAAAATAGTCGAAAGATAACAGAGTGCTCATGAAAAATGGAGTAGAAAAGTGGTAAGTAGGATGAAAGCACATTTTCCAACTGATTAACAATAAATTCACCATAAATTAGTGAACAATCAAGCCACTAGTACAATTTCGAGTATATGGAAAGTGACTTGCTCGTATATTCATCAGTGAGAATAAATAAAGTTAATGGATGTAACAAAAAAGCAACATTACATACAAGAAAACTTACTGTTCTAACAAAATAACTGCCTTCTTTTTAAATATAAAATCGGATTCGAATTGACCCAGTACTGACTGCTGAACTCGACTTGCCAATCTAGTGTACAGAACAGTTTCCACAGTCATTTGACGATTAGGCAATGAGGCTAGGACATGATCTAAACCTTGAACACTTGAAAAACTGAATACACTTCCTTGTGGACCAGAGAGTGGACTATCACCTAAATTATTTTTTTTAGAAAAAAAAGGAAAATGACAAGAAATAGTAAACTAGGATAACTTTAAAGTATCACTGACCCCAGAAGTAGTATCTATCGTCCACAGTCCACCTTATCCCATGATAGTAAAATAATGATCACAAACTACCATTAAACGTATATAGAATCTGTTAGCCAATGCTTGAATCGAATCAAAACTGAAGCGAAACTCAGCGTTGATTAGAAGTTACACATCACCTATTATTGAAACTTAAGCTGCTTACCATACAGATGAAAACCGAAAAACCCCAAGTAGGATGATAACAAACTTCATAGTGGTTAGAGGCAATCGATAGAGAAAATTAGACCTAGAATCCCTGCTTGTTGGCATTTACAAGCAAGGTATACCTGCAGTCACAACTGGAACAGTGTCCCATCAGAGATTCGGACCCAAATTACCTAGTATAGGACTCAGGGACATTACCAATAAGCTATTAAGGTCATGATTGACCTCCTATAGGACTGTGTCACTGGGGAGTAACCAATTTCATGCTGTTTAGTCTTAAATGCTGACCAAATTCTATCGGTCATTTTGTAATGTGATGGTACTAGGTGATGCAGATTCAAATCTCTCAGGTGACATCAATTCTTTAGCGGCTGCTAACAGGTTTTGCTGTAAACAAGCATGAAACCTAGGCGTAGGGTTTCCTGTTCAACCACCTAATATTATTAAAAATTGCACTGTCATGCTGTTTTCAAGCTTGGCAATCACATTACAAAGTGATCGACAGAATTCGACCAGCTCTTGAAATTAGGCGACACTAAATAGGTTACTCTCTAGTTATGTTGTAATTTATCACAGTGGTAATTACATGAAGATGCATTTTACATATACCAATATCACACAGTATCCAAACGAACTATGTCGAGTTTGTCTGCAACGAAAAACCCTGAACGAAATGATTTTAAAGACCATACTATGATGCTACACTCTGTACTCCATGTGGTGCTAGAATGTTGTCCTTTCGCTCTCAAAGGAACTGTTTCGTCGGTTTGGCATACCAGAAACAATACTTTCCAAAAATAACACTCAGCTTACATCTTACGGATTCACAAACTTTGTATAGTAATTGGAATCAACCACTAACTTACACCACCAGGTCGTTATTGAACGAACAGTCCGACTGAGTGTTTTATGAACATATTAATAAGTCTTGTTGAGAACCAAGAATAGGAAGCACTGGAGAAATACCGAATAAACTCTTACTGACTTGCAGTTATGCAATAAATTCCTAACTATATGACTAACCGTCACTTGTCGTGATAGGTTTAGTTGTAAGAATGGTCCTAAAAGTCACGCCTGAAATGTTCAAGATCAGAAAATGAATGCATCGCTTGATTAGTATCGCCAACAAATAGGAATAGCTAATCCACGGGTAAGTTTATTAAAACCTAGTCAGTACATTTATCTTCGCCCATTACATTCGCAATAATAAAGCACACTGAACAACAGATGCTCTGGGACTACAAGCGATTCAGTACTCATAAGCAAAGCGTATTTACTGTAATACAATTCCCAATCTATGAGTCAGCATCAGTTCATATGACGCTGAAAGATATATAGTATAGTAGTAGTAAGTGTAACCAGTACGAAATCAGAGACCACAACCTCCTAATGACCGTTTCCAAGCACCAAATGACCACACAAAAGTGTAAAAGGTTTTCCCGTTATATGGTACGATTTACAAAAACTTCGTACACATTTAATCTGAAGAATAATTATAACAAATTCGAATGAAAATGTAGGCTGCATAATTGCAGGCCGATACAGAATCGACACACCAGCCAATGAAATCAAAAGTAACGTGATCATTGATAGTTTCAAGGATTCTTGATTATTACAATTATTATTATTATTTGTCCTTCGGGTTCCTAATGGAAAATAGGGCTTCAGTAGCACATCTCCATTGCACTCTCTTCTCTGCACACTTTTCAACCTTGACCCACGACTGTCCACAAGCTTTCATTTCTTCCTCACACCATCTCCTACACATCACCCTCAGATGTCCAACTAGTCGTTTCCCATGCGGGTTCCACTAGAGGGCCTGGTCTGGCACTTGATGTCCCCGAATGATCTCCTCAATGCATGCCCAATCCATCTCAACTTTCTTCGTCTGCATATTTGTTGAGTGATGGGTTCTTCGTTGGTTCGTTGCCAGGCCATAGTGAGTTCCTTGTTGCTTATTCTTATTATTCTGGCCATCTGATCTTCAGTATCGAGCCAGAGTAGGCAGGTGTCAATGAATGTCTGTAGTTTGTTGGAAATGCTTTTTGTAACGCGCCAAGTCTATGAACCATCACACAAAAGCACTGACTTGACTGAATTAGTGTTGAAAATCCGGATGCTGTTCACACTTTTTGCTGAGTACAGTATATCTCCACACTGGTTTCAGGTTAATGAAAGCCTGTCTTGCTTTTCTGATCCTGGCTTTGACATCCTCATATGTGCCTGTGCCTGAAAAGATGCTGTCTTGCTTAGGTAGGTGAAAGAGACTACTTCCTTTAGGTTTCTCACGTTCATGGTGATTGGTGTTGGTGGTGGTTGGGTATCTTCATCACCTCCGTCTTCTCCGCCTTCGCTGCTGCACTGACTCTTCTGTCAACTTGTTGGTTTTTGCCCGTAGATCTTTGAGTTTGTGCGATACTAGACACAAATCATCACCGTTGGCGAAATCCAAATCTTCTAAGGTCTTCCCATCGGTCCAGCGTGTGCTCATCCTCTCGCTCCTCACGGTTTCCTGCATGGTCCAGTCGACCACAATCAGAAAGATCATCGGTGATAGTAGGCAGCCTTCGCTTACCCCTGTTTTCACTTCAAAGGCGTCACTGAGCTTCCCATTGTGCAGCATCATTCAGCAAATAGCTGTTGAATGAAGTTGATAAAGGTTTGTGGTACTCCGTAGTGTTGAAGCAGCTGCCTGCTAAACTACTTCGTAGTCGACGTTGTCGAAGGCCTTTTCAAAGTCGATGAAGTTGAGGTAGAGAGTTGATTAGCATTCTATACTCTGTTCTGTGATGATGCGTAGCGTTGCAATTTGATCGGTACATGACTTGTTCTTCCTGAATCCAGCCAGTTCCGGTTGTAATCCAGTTAAATCCAGAGCGTTGTTTAGTCTCTCCAGGATGATGCGGCTTAATATTTTGCTTGCTCTGTGTGGACAGATATAGGATCATGATTCCACGCCATTTCTTTCAAAGACTTAGGTCGCCCTTCTTTGGAAGTTTGACACGGGAGTCCTTCTTCCAACCGGCAAGTACCTTTCCTTCCTCCCAAACCTTCTGCAATAGTGGTGTGAACATGTCTGCTGTTGTCTCTGTGTCTGTTTTCGGTGCTTCTGGAAGAATTTTATCTGGTCCTCCTACTTTCTCGGATTTCAGCAACTTTATGGCGTTCAAGACTTCACTTCTGCTTTTGTCAGGTCTCTGTCTGTCCTACCTGTGGCTTGTTTTGCTTCACTTGTAATTGTGTCGTAGAATTGTCTTTTATCTTTCGGTGCACTCTTCTCTACCTCTTTGCTCAGTGTCTTAAAGGTTGTGTTCAGTTCCTCTTTTCATTGTTCATCCCCACACTCCACTGTTTCATCTTCTGCCTCACTATCTTCTTCTCCCTCCTCTATCAGCTTCCATGTGTCCATCGAGATCCATTCCTTGTCTTGTCTTGTTTGTTCTCATTTCTTAACGCGGTTCTGCATATTTCCTTCCATATCTCTTTCATAGAGTTTCAGTGTTCTTCCATGCAGGTTTCTTCAGGGATGCTGCCTCATGTCTCCCATTTTTTCCTGATGACTAACTGATGTGAAGATGTCCTTCGTAGTTTCGTCCTTCAGTTTCTGTTCTGAGTGTTTAACTTGAACTTGAACTGTGGTCTATCACCAACTTCTTTGCAGGTTCTCAACTTGATTTTGAAGGTAGGTTGCTTGCACTAGACAGTGAGTGGTGTGAATCTACATCTGCTCCTCTTCTTCATCGGATCTTGTGTCCACTAGGCTGACTGTATCTCCACTTTCTTCACATTGAGATGAAGACTATAAGATTTTTAGTGTAGTGTGTGTGTCCCGGTGTCTGGTGAAATCAAATCCATGTCGCTTGCTTTGTGAATATCCTTGTGTTTGTACACACAAATCTCCAGTCACTAAATCTATGAATGCGCAGAAGTCGGCAAACAGTTCTCCATTCTTATTCATCATTTCACCGAGTATCTCTAGACTCATGATGAGTTCTCTTCGTGTGCTGTCCGCTCCCAGTTTGACATTCATGTCACCCCACTCATTAGAATGAATTTTGATGTCACCATCTGGAGTAGGGTCTTGTCCAGTACTGATTGCAGTTGTCTGTAGAATTCTTACTTCTGCTCTTGATCCACATTATTTGTAGGTGCGTAGCGTAGCACTGTATGATTGTGACTTTCTTTCCTTTCAAGTTGAATCTTGCTGTCATGATCCTGCAGAAGGAGACTAATTCCCACTGAATGAGAGCCTTCGATGGTGTTGGGGACATCATGGTAGCCACTCCAAAACTCAGTTTGGTCGTGGTTGTCGTCTGGTTGACAATGTCGAGGTAGATTATTGACTCTCCAGTTACCAGTTTGGAGAATCAAGTTCCATTTCATCTGCTTTCGTAGATTCCTAGCACTTCTATGCTATATCTTCTCATCTCTTTTTCAATCTGGGCAGCCTTGCCAGCCAGCTTCAAACATTGTGCGGACATTCCATGTCCTATGTTTACTTTTGCTTTCATCGAGAGGAGAGAAGACACATCGGCTAACTGGCTTCCCGAAGGCTTCCACCAACTGGCGTCATTTCGTCTCCCCAATTCCAGCGAGAAATAGGTATATTTTTATGTTTTATATTTTGTTTGTGCTTTGAAGTTTCTTTAGTGATTGGATTGGTTTTACGAGGTAGGGTTGGTAGTCCTATGCCCAACATTCCCTCTCTATCCCGGGCTTAGGGCGGGCTAGTAACTAGTGAACTATTAGAGTAGGCGAAATTTCCAAGAATTCTACGGAACATAACACAACTGTTTTCTCGAGTTAGAAACAGTTCAGCGCTTCATATCTTGAATCATCATAGTAGATAACTCAGCTTCAAATCACAAGTTTCGAACTTAATAATAGTTGTCTAACTCTCGATAACACTGAAATACTACTTGCTTATACAGCTGATTTAATCAAGTGAATGTCAGTCTTCGTACAAGTTTAAAAATATTAGTGTCAGAGGTACTAAACACTACGCCATATCAACAACGTAGATTTCAACTTCATTAAAATGTACCAATTTGCCTTTCAATAACTTACAGAATGTGTTTCTATCTATTGGCGGTTGACCAAACAAACTGAGAGGATACTGTGCTGGGAATCCATACTCATCAAACATTGGCAGACGAAGCGCTGAACCAGCAATAATTATATCAAGATACAGAATCCCCATTAGAAATTTCACCACTTCATCGACAGTAGCTAAACCAAATACTTCTTCCATGACATTGTCACTTGAATAATGCCCTACCCTAGAATTTGAACGAAGCTGTACGGCAAATGTGCATATTAATATTACTTTTACAAATACAATAGATTACATAAATGAAAACAATTTAAACAAGCAGTAACTATGACTATCATGTCTACACAAGACTCAGTGTACAACAGAGCAAATTTGAATGAACTAACATAATAAGTGGACAATGATGTTGATCATAATACAATAAGAAAGACTCATGTTTGGAAATAATTAAAATGATACCAATAGCAAGTTTCGCTTTTATAACAACTTATACGTGTAGTACACTGATGAAATTCAAACCTGAACTGTTCAGTGCTATCATACAAAGAGCGGTATAGTGAGAATATTTAAGTCATGATAAATTAGAAGATACATAATTGGATCGGCTATGATCCTAAGTGCTGAATAAAGTCTGTGAATTAAGTTCACTTGTATGTTGATCACAAATAGTAAGGCAGGTAGTGTAAGACGCCATCATCTGATTTCATGTGCAGATTAAGAGAACTAAAATAAACACGCAGTTAGAAATCTGACTGTAAAGTCGTTTTCAAGAAAACTCGTCAGAAACAGAACTCTCCTAATTCATACTCGACTTATAGAAATACCACATAAGTAGTATAGAATGCAATGTCACTGAGAAATGTAATGTGTTGAAAGTCAACCAGTACAGGTTCTTGAGAAAGAAACAAGACATATCGAAAGGAAATACAGAAGGCAAGCGAAAAAGCGATAAGAACCGAATTACAATTCATCGACTATGCTGAATGCAAAGTTATGAGATTTTATAAGTACACATTGTAGTTTTTAAATAAATTACTCCATTCGTCCTTACCAGCCTTTTTCTTCCAACTTTGTTATGGTAGCATTTTTATTGAAGGTATACGTTTTTTAACCAACAAAAAGTACATAACTCAAAACTTAAAGAACTAAAAACATCATCTTTCCTCAAAGATAAAGTGGTACTTGCTAGGAGCGAAATGGTTACCTGTAAACCAGCTTTTTGTAGCGCAAAAATTACATTTCCAAGTATTTCAATCTAAAAACCTAAGTAGTGAAATATCTTTTCACAAAAATTAAGATGTTGTGAACTTTTTTCTTATAAAATTGTTTGAACGCTATCCTTGGCTTATTATGAACACAATAATAATAGACCATAATTTTTAAAGCCAGACACTGCTACCTGTTTTCAAATTGCTCAAGAACATAAAATACATGAGCACAAGGTCGATCGCAGCCCAGGTAGCTCAGTGGTAGCGTCTCTGATTGCATCACTATGACGCAGTTTGAATATCTGAAGGGATATCAGTTCCCTGGAGGTCACAGATACTCCTTGCTGATAGGTGCAAAGACAGGGCTTCCTGCCAATCGCCTCCAACCACCACCTAACACAAAGCAAAACTACTCTGAGCAACTGAAAGACATCTGTAACATTTGCACCACAAATATCATTGAAGTTTCATCCTATTCACCTGCCAAGCTGTGCATATCTTCCCTGATTATTTATTTTTAATATATTTCAGATGACGAAGTGATTACTGAACCAATTAATTTTAGGTTTTTCACAGTGACATTTCTGTTCACTTGTAGAAAATCCATTCGTGAATGACCAATTTTGAATAACTCAATAGATGCCGATGACGACGTTTCGCCTTCTTCTTTATCACAATATATGACTGATAGAATGAACGCGTTCCTCGAACAGTCACTAAAAGGAGGATAGTCTCTAAGACGGTCTCAAAATACAGACCGCTTAAACACCATGCATCAAAATACGTCTTATGCAACTACTAACTGCACTATACCATGAAAACAACCAACTAAACCCTGGGTATCAGAGTGCGCCGAAACGGCGTTCGTAATAAGCAGCTGAGAGGCATGAGTAAAAAAGAAGTTCATTATGAGAGAAGCATTCGTGGTTCGACTTCGACAGTAGTGATACGTATAAAATAACTAGGTAATTCTTTTGAATTCTTCCCCTTAGTGATCTTTTAAATTCTCAGCCGAGAGGAATTGTGAATACTTGCATTCTAACAGTCTTTCTATGGTAAAATATAGTAGCTGTTTTGTAAAGGAAGCACGTAGACTTTCACCACAATGTATTTACTGAATAGCAACATCCCATTTCAAACATATTTTAGGCTTCGACCACGTATTAATTTATCTTGGTTTCACTTTAAACCCAAATCATCACATTTCATGATTCTTGTGTTACACATCATGTCCGGTGATCTTGGCTACCTGATTTTCCCACAAGATCTCCATTGGCTGATTGGAAAAAAGGTTCATTCGTCTGCGGATGTCACTGGCTATGAACTTTCTAAACCATTTATTAATTGGTTGTACAACAATTAAAATATCTATTATAAATAATGGCACTGAAAACATCTTAGAATAAAGAAATGTCTAGAGTCACTCGGTGGAAAACTTCATTTCAAAAGTGTTTGAAGAGAGCTTAGAGTTTAACAGCAGAAAAAGCTCCATAATGGAGTTCCTTGCGTGGTGAAACGTGTACAGCTAGACGCCACAGATTGGAAACAATCCCATTTGCATCTATCAAACTTAATTCTCTTGTAAATTGATAGTTTCATCTAACCAGTTCTATTGAACTGAAGAAATCTGATATGATCACTTCCGTACACTATCTTGCATTTCACTGTGCTAACATAAGAGATGCAACAAAGTGTACTGAAGTACTGCCCTGATACACCATATGTTTTCCAGCAGACAAGTGATGTTGTGTGCAACAAATGAATATATGTGATATAAAAAGTTATTAATCAGTGTGCCCGAAAGCAAGGTTTGATTCAAGCAATGAGGTCACTTTTGGACGCTAGGTAAGTTGTTTGATGGCGAAAGATACTATTAAGCAGAATCGAAAAGAGAGTTGGCAACTGAATAACCAACATTTGTCTAGATTGTAGTTCAACTACGGTTTTTTAAGGACTAACTGATCTCAAGGATTGATCAAGGATTGGCGTCACCTGGAAAACCACTGAAAACCTGTAATTAAAACCTAAATCTCCTGGGCTCGGTTCCTCATGTGATTATAGGATTTTACCGCTGAGAAGTTTTAAACTAAAATGAAGCAGCTATCCTGTGTTTCATGGTCTTAAATAGTTCGCCAACTGACACCAAAACAAGGTGAAAATTAGTATGATATCTACGTTGTGTTAGAAGTAATAATAATATATTTAGAATAATAAAGCATACGAACTAGACTATCATAATGAAGACCTGAGAAAGATGTAACATCACTATTTAGATAGATACGGATTAATTAGATAGAATTGTGCCTAGTAGAATAATGAACGTATTAAAAATAAAACCACATTTCATACAGTAGTGTGATACACTTATATGTAGAATTTTTAGATAAACAGCAGTATAAATATCATCCATACGTTTGCATTCACTGAAAAATACCAAACAATGATAACAATTTACACACTATAACAATAATATACCTACTTTCACTGTACTACCAGGAACTCCAACCAAACCCAAGCCACCTTCTTCCATGGGACTGGCAATTTCATGTCTCCAGGATTGTAATTCATTATCACGTATTATTTGTTCAGTTCCTTCGGCTATCACAAAGAATAAGAACAAATAACATTTCAATTATTCAACAAACTTCACTTCACACAACAGTAAAAAAATGTTTCGGAAACACCCTAATGTATATCACATTACATTGTCAAAGAAATTTCTTCGGTCTATCCTGTTCATTCCTATTGAAGAACTGCTGAAAACTGCTTGAAAACAAACAACGAATTGAAGAATGGGTCATGCTTAGGATGACTATGAAGTAATCTTAATCTTAGTCCAGAGAAATTGATGAAATTCAGTTATTAACGAATTCAATTAGTTGCCTGCCTTACACTCAGTCAGACTAACTAAACAAAATGTAGTTTATAAAACCTATTATATCCCCATTGTTCACTTTGTCGAACTTAATCATCGACCTATTTTGTTACATGGGTATCCCTGACCCAATGTCTCTGTACTGCCACGAAATTCATTCTGATACTGTTTAGCCTAGAAATTCAACTTTAAAACAATGGGTCACGAGTTCGAAACCCGTCCAGCCGACTTCGGCCTTGGCAATAAGTGTGGCTAATGGTCTAAAACATAAAGATGTACCAGATTACGTTACATTATTATTTATTATCACTTAAACCGGTAGCCACTGTCGAGGAAGAGATATTAGAAAAAACTGATGAAAATATATCCGAACATCCTTACAACGATATTGATTTGCTAACAACCATTAACACTCTTAGGGAAAGATATGACTCTCCTAACTTAGTAACCAAGTGATGTTCGAAAGGATAGGTGCTCCGTTAGACTATCAACAGCACAACCGTCAGCAGCTACAATGTAAAAGTGCATACAGCTAACAAGTGATCAGTACGATGGAATGTATGCCTCCGACTCCGTTGCTATTCACTAACAAGTGAATAATATCCGAGGTTATTAAGTTCTACATGCTAGAAGATATTTCTAGCGAGATAAAACAGTGAAAGACAAGCTTTTAAAAGACATTATTCTGTAAATAGTTTATAATGGCTGAAAGCGGAAATTACAAATGTAACTTCATCCTGTTCACAATTCTCCCCATTTTAAAACCCAATGCTGCGATGATAGCGAAATATAAATTTCCCTGACAAATTGTCATGATATGTCCTGAATCTCTCTTGTTTATTACTCTAACGATATGCCAGTGGTTCCATACGAGAAGCTATTCGTTGCACTGAAATAATCAATCAGCATGAATGTCTTTCCCAATGTCGTTTGATTCTCACAAAAAGAAACCCATTTATCACACTAAGACATTAAACGACCCGTAGATGAAACCTGAAGTGTTCAGCTATCACATTGGGATATTGCAACTTAGATTTGAAAAAAATGATGAGTTTACAGGTGTGATTTTTAAGAATTTATTGAACGCTCTTCCAGCTTAGTTTAAGAGAACATTTCATAGATTGTTTGAGAAGTCTCTGCTTAGTAGAAATGACCAGTTTGTGAACTGGATAACTTACCATTCCTCTGCTAATTGAATGATGCAAGATAATTTACGAAAGAAAAAAAACGAAAATAACTTCTTTCCCTGGATATTTCTAACTATTAGGAGTTTATCTAACAACACAGCAGTTAGAAAAAGCACTCCAAACAACTATTAACAATTAATGTATGAACATAATCCATGTACGGACTTTTTAAAATCATTAATTTATACTGTATCCTTCCGTTGCAAAATACAACTCACTATAGATATTTCTGATGTCTTAAATGAACAGTTGTCCTCTGTCCTGTTTTTTTTATTTACATTACAACTGAACATGATCTATGCACATCGGTTAATCTTTACTAACTAATATTGTGCCAATTTCCAACCAAAAAATCTCTGTCTTGCTATGATTCAAAGTGAACGATCACCAATAATGAAAAATCCTCACAAAACTGATACCAACTACCGCCCTGACCCAGATACTAATAAAAAAAGAACAAAATCCAGAATAAAGTATAATAAGTCAGTTAGAAATCTAAGTGATCATGAACACGGATCGAAATTTCACAACTTCAAGTGCAGGCAGGATAGTTATTTCTCAAGATCTTTTGATAGTGAAAACGATGAAGTTGAAGTAATTGAAGTCACAAATGACGATAACCATAAAACATAAAGATATTATGATCAATTGTGGTAATTTGGTCGGTTGTGGCTAGCAGAGGAATCTTGGACGCGCGTTCCGTCCTATTTGGGACTCGCCAGCTAGATGTACCTGCACCCCAGTGAGTGATGTTGTTCCCAGCGAGACTCGGACCTCATAACCATCGCTTCAAACGCCAAGGCTTTATCCACTATGCCACGCAGGCACGATAGCCATTTCTTGTATAACGGGTAGTAATTATTACTATTTATTGATATACTTGTACTTCTCTGTTGTTTCATTGGATCGAATTGTTCGACCTCTATTAGTATATGGGCTCCTAGGCGAATGCCTCAATATTCCCTGAATGTTAATTATGGTAATTTGGTTGGTTGTGGCTAGCAGTCCTAAATATTATTAATTATTGATACTTGTCGCACAACAGGTGGCTCTCATGGATCGGTGGTCTGGTGGATAGCGCTTTGACATTCAGAGCGATAGGTGTTGGGTTCGAGTCCCAGGCAGGAACGTCATCGCTATCATCCAGATGACGAATCTCAAATGAAACGAAACGCGGGTCCTGCGTTTCACTCCTGGCCATCACCAAGTAAATTACATGAATTTAAACAGTATTACTATTTTAATTGTCTTATTTACTAATCATGACACGCTTCGTGAAGTTCGCTAGAAGCAAGAACGAGCACTACAAACATAATGGGAAGCAGAAGAAACATTGACTACATAAACCTATGAAACTCACGATAAAATAGACGAACATAGCTGGATACGAATTGCTCTAATGTATGGTATATTAGTAAGGCATCTTCACGATATGGATAGTTGCCTAACCCATTTGGATCGTAGACCTGATTGAAGAATATATAAACACAAAAATGCAAGATGGTATAACTAAACTAAAAAACATGAATATATAATAGCACTGTTTCAATTGACAATAAATTACATCAACAATATGTGCCATAATGAGAAGTTGGTGGATGAATAAAGTGCTACAGGACCTTGCAGAAGAAAAGCCGTTTTTCATAAACACAGGTAAGGAAAACACAGTGTTAAGCATTTTAGCAAGAGAGAAATTCAATTCTTGTCCATTCCATACACGTTAACAGCCAGTGGATACATCTTAGACTGACTGCTGTGACGCAACTAATATACTACTTTTACTCTAGTCAGTATAGTACATAGTGACAACTAATGCTTAGGTATGCCTGAAATGTTTCCCGATAACCACAATTAATGAAGGTTCATGAATTTGTCATCCGACTTAACATGCACATCAGCAAAATATTGCTTCTTCTGGTTCTTCTACACAAAAATGATGCTTGCAAACTACGTAAAAACTGAGACAAATACAGCCTCCCATCACTGTTGAAATAAACGAAATAAGACGAAAACACTAGAAGAAATACGTTACAGTAGAATCTCTAAATGTATAATTGAAAGGTTGTAGAGAAGAAGTTGAGGTAAAACGTTACTCCAAAAAGAATAGGCTGGTATATAATTTTACTACTTTAATAAATAACATCAAATCCAGAATCAGTACTACATATACTTAGTGAATGATCATGCATATCGTTTTGACTGTCTGAGATAGCCGTGGTTCGGTAGACTTGTGTTGATACTGGTGGTGATTGGAAGTTAAGTGGAAATCTGGGTCGCAGGGGGATTCAAACCAGCGATCATCAGGTTTCCGGCCCGGTGCTCTATCAACTGCTGACCAGATTTTTATTTCATTTCAATCACCAAGGCTTTTGCATGACTTTCATGTGAATTCGTGACATGTTACTACTATTTGATTGTACTCATACTGGTTGTATAGTCAGGACTTCTCATCCGAATCCAAATCTAACTGAATAAGATAGGGGGAGCATCATATTGATTATCATTTTGACTATCCGAGATAACCGTGGTTTGGTAGACTAGTATTGATAGTGGGTTATGATTTAAGGTAAAACGAAAATTTGGGCCGCGGTGGGACTATGTAACTATTGAAAAATGAACTGTACGCATAGCTGTTCACCAAGAATGGACTGAAAGTGATTATAATGAAATGCTGGATAACAGTGAGTAGGTTTGGACAGAAATAAATAAATAGTAAGAAACTAGTTTATCACTTATTAGCATAGATGATCAATCTAGATTCGTTACATTAGACAATAGTACAAATAAAGTAATACGGAGTACCTAAGGTTTAAAATGTGCCTCAACTGCTGAACTCACATCTAATGGCTGACTATTAACCCGCGTGTAGCAAAGATCTCAAGTTAGCCAATTAGATCGCAGAAGCCATAAAAGATCTGCATTACCGAATTAGGAACAAAAAGAAATCAACTGTCCAGTGCTTCATGACTCCCACTCGTTCTTCACAGAAACTCAAGTATTTCTCAGATAGGAATTCAAAAATGACAGAGCTGAGGAAAGAAGCAACATGAAGATTAGGAGGACAATACCTAAGACCTATTCATTTGCAAAACTTGTCTCTGTATCAATATATTTCTCATTATTCAACTGCACACCCTTATGGTTTCGAATTTAATAACTTCTTCCTAAAAGTTGTGATTCCCTCCACTGTCGACTAGTCTTTCCTAAGTCCGTTAAAAAATGTCCCCCTCTATCACATTAAAGTATTTTCGGTTTCACTGAGCTATGCTATCGCAAAATCCTTCACCTTTGTAAAATGCCTATCGTGTCCACTTTTCCTGACTGTTAGAGAATACCTGTTACATGAGAAATGTTTTCAAGGTTGTCTCCTTTCTATCCCAGTGAGTGGGTGGGATTAAAGCATTCCCATATGGTCTGAGAGTTGCGTTTCTGCTCATGTGATATTTGAATGACAGATGGCGTACATAAAAGCCATAAATTATCGTATGCAAATGTATGACAAAACCTACTTTGTAATAACCACCCCAACAGGAATCATTTTAAAGGTCGTCATAGTAAAGACTGAGATAGTTAATTAGGTTTTTCCATTTCGACTAAAAAGGTAGTTTCTCATAAAATACGGAACTCTAATTGGCTGCTTCAGTAGTTGTAAAACAGTGACCTTTAGAGATACTCTGTTAACAGTGCTTTTTCTCACAGTCCAGTTTGTCCTTTGGGATTGAATGTGAGTTTGTCGTATCAACTCTACTAAAGGGATGTTGGCTTTATCAGGTAATCCTGTTGCAGCCAACACAGTTTGCTCGTATCATGTGATTCAGAATCTTTGCCAATGTCAAGTATTTAGCTTTTAAATACTACGACATGTTAGCGATAGACCACCCAACCAAAGTTTCGTTTATATCATTTGTAAACTATCCACTGACATCTCAGAACAAATGTTAAGTATATTTTAAGAAACCTCTCTATATTGTGAGTAAATAATGGAACTTTAATACAGAAATAAGCATTGTGGGCTCAATTTCTGAATGTTCCTGTAGTTTTGTTCCTCTCTCAGTTTGAATTTTCACACCCAGAGAGCCTTCAACATCAATCAACATGTGATCTTCAATCCGAAACAGCAACCTGTCAATCTATATCTGCCAAAGATGAACTCTAAGCGTTGATTACCCTTGAACTAAACTATAAGAAAAAACATACGAGTGAATATTGTTTTGGTTTAGCAAACGTCAGGGTTTTGTGCCACCAGCTATATCATTGGTTGTTCTGTGAGAAATATCCAACGATATAAGTAAATGGACTATAATCGAACATAAAAACTCCAACATGTCATTGAGTTCATCTACTGTAAGTGCAGCTAACCTTGGCAAGTTCTCTTGGTTAAGAACTGCATCACCTTTTTAAATTGACCATCATTAGGTTCAACCACCGTCATCTTTTGCCGATGACAACCGAACGCTTCTGCTTGATGATTTGAAGCTCTAGTTAAATAATAAATAATTGAATTATACCAACATAGGACCCGGCATTACAATGTAACGGATCAAGCTGCCATGTCTCATAACGGTTAAAACAAATAGAAAGTAGTAAAAGAGAGGAAGGAGGAATGAGAAAATGATGAATTCAGAGAGACGCTTAAGATAAAAATAAAGTGTAGATACATCAATCGTCAGATATATCATCTAAAGTCTCCAACCAATGGTTTCTGTTGTCACTCGGACACCAACCGGCTAGTATGCATATCGCAACGTGGCACAGATCAACAGTCAAGCTTCGATCTGTAAACTACATCGTCCTCATAATAAGTATATTCCGAGGTTCATGAAAATATGGATAAAAATAGAGACCTACCCCTCTAGACTCCAGTTCACGATATATGTTTGCATTCACATCAAAACGCCATTTCTTAAATGCTCGTCTTAATAACTGCTTGATGCCTTTACGTGACAGTTGTATGTTACGCGATATCCACCCATTTTCGAAGGTCCATTCTTTTAATTTTCTTAAATTTAAAGGAAAAGTAATAATGTTCCAATTGTGCACGAGAATAATCTCCAATTTAACAACAAAAGTCGAATAGAAGTAATCGAGAGGCAAATAATAGCTTCACGGCTGAGATGTCATGCTACGTCTGGACATGAAAATGCATACTACCTAGCAATCTAAATATTTATAAAAAGTCCAACGAAATTCCAATCGTACCAAAACTGAACAGCTCTGTAGAGTACCTGGACCATTAAGCATTCATTCTGAAATCTCTCAATCAGAAAATGCCTGTCAAGAAGCAAAAATATGATCAACAAGAACCATATCATTAAAGATCACGAAATGAGTCTTCTACCGAAACCATAAAGCAAATCGAAGTCAGTTAGTGAATCAGTCTACGCATGGATGACAAGAATGAGGCATACAGGAGAACCTGAGAAACTGTTTAAAGAGAATATCAATAAATCCTAAAAAACGCTAATACACCTTCAACTGTTATTTGAGTTTCTAAACTGACTACCATACGGTGTCCGTCTTTATCTTCACCGGACAGCAGAGGCAGTAGCAGTCAAGCTGTGTGCATTCAGGAGAAGTTTGCTAAGACTTCAAATTTCCGATAATCATGTAATACTACCGACAGTATCTAAAATTAACTTATTATTACCATCATTATTCAGTTCCAAATTGAACACCCAAGCAATAAGTTATTCATTTACAATTACTCTTTCACATGTTTCTCTTTCAGTGAATAATTTTATTTCCTTTGTACTCATCTCTTTTTTTAACCCTTAGTTAAGTTGGATTATCATTTCACACCTGCAACTATTAATTTTCTATCAAAATGTCATCAAGCATACCTATTTCCGAACGAACGAAATGAAATGCAGGCAACCACCTTAAGCACATCAGTGCAGTAGCCCATGAGCCACACCTGTTATGTGAGGGCTGGTGATAATACCTTGCTTCCCACACCTCAGCAGGTGGAGTGAGGTCCGGAACCCATGATTCATTGGTTAGAAGTCAACTCCCTAAAATAGTGAGCCACAGCTCCACACCTACTTCCGTCAACTACTCACAATCGTTTTATTACGCTGCACAACCTTTCTATATAAATAGCTAGATCTTTGTTTATTTCACTCAAAATTTGTGACCTACACACGCATATGTCGTGTTTTACAAGACTGACATATAAAAGTAGAGCTTGAAGGAACCTGGACAAAAACGTATTTTCACTTATTTTACTTGTCTTCTCACGAAATGGGTTTGTTGACTAAATTTTCATTTGACAAATTACCTTGTTACTGGTAATATACTGCGGAAATGTGGTGCAACCAAGTGGTAGATTGGATGAGATTGTGACATATTACGTCGTAGAGATACGTAAATTGATTCCAAAATCAAATGAGTTAATAAACGACCGACAATCATATGATGGCATGCATCAGCTAAATTCACCCATAATTTTGCTTGTAACCAGACTGAAGTTGGATCAGTTGGCAGAATAATCTAAAAATCAAAAGAGATGAACATCTAATGAAACGATTCAAAATTTAAAGACTATTCATATGGTATATCCCAGAAACATGCCGCACAAATTTCGTAAGTACACAAAAATGAAAAGTGTGTCTAAGTATGGATACCAACTACACAGCGAAATTCATGAATTTTCAGAATAAACTGTTATGTTCTCTGTGTAAAACGATGATGCGGTAAGATTCAAAAAGAAATTAAATCTTTGTGAATTCAGTAACTCAGTAATCAAACACAGATTTATGACACGACCATGAGCCACGTTTATGGTATGCCAGATAAAAGTACTGCATGGTCTCCCTAACATCTATAGGTTAAGCAGGACTCAATACAGCAACCGATTAGTTGAAAATATAGTAAACCTCGCCAATGAACTATATATTTTAAGAAGTGGATAACAACAGGTAAACTGAATCACTCTAGGCTACTGCAACGCTTAGTGGGTAAATCTGTACATTTTAGACTGACAATTTATCCTCAATTTGGATGCTATCGTTGATTTTATAGCATTCCAACTGTGTCCGACTTTCTAAGATACAAACTAAAGAAAAGGCAGATTTTCCTTCATTTAGTACCAGGATTAAAACACAACTTCATTTTTTCCACGTACATACACATTTTGCAACATACAAGCCTCAATGAGTAATATTCTGTAGTTGTTTCAGTCTTTAGTTCAGTCACATGCATACTTCAAATATCGATCTAGAAGAATGCAAAAGATTCAATGAAACATTTCCTGCTGCCAAGTTACTCCCCCAATACAACAGCAGACTGCAGTTTAGAAACTAAATTACACCAAAGAAGCTTCACACACTTATGTCACATTCAGGGAGTGGTACACTAGCAACTAGCAACGTATCCAACTTTCAGTTAAGACAAACAACCACCTTCACTTATCCACATTATGGTTGGTCGACAATAACGCTCAATATGGTCATGTAGTAATGAATGGGCGTGGTATAGTCAGTCATCTAACCACCCATTCAAACTACCTCATTCTGTGTGAATATATGTAGTGCCTACAATTTCCACACAATTAGTGTACCGTACAGATAATACACAAACAAGTAGGCAGAAACTAATATTCCCGTCACATTTGGCAAATAAATGACTATCTGTTCACAAAGTTGTAATGCCTTGATGAGCATCATACAATGAACATTAACTCAGGATATTCCAACATTCACCTAAAACCTTATAACTAAGCAAAAGACAAGGCTAATCGTACTATTAACAAAAGAATCTGGACTTATAGGAAACCGCTTGTTTATGCATTCCAGTGCTACTCTTTTCAACCATGAGGAAGTAACTTGTGTCCTGAAAAACAATTTATAAATAAATAGTGAAAAACCTGCACATTCTATTTGTGTAAACTATTCGTATGAACTGCAAAACACCAATAACATCCCGTGTGTGGAGAAACAACGGAATGTTCTACTTGCCATGCATAACAACTCTATTCTCACATTCAGCTCACAACTATTCTTAAACAATCAACCTACACGTTACCTCAATATCTTACTCTCTCCATCTCGATATCGTTGGAAATGCAGTACACGTAAATTCTGTTGACCATCAAATCTAATGTTAGGAAGCAACTCGAAAATTAAACAACTTCAATGATAATTACGACCTAATGAAATCTTTCTTATGCGAAAAACCCTTTCATAAAACAGTTATGTCACAACATCACTCCCTAGTCATCTATGCAGGTTTTCATTTCACCTCACTAATCAGTCCACATTTCGCCATTGAGAGATCGCAGCTATTAGGCTGCAAACCCATCACTCGTTTCTCATAGTTTAAATGCTTTACTTCTTCATTTGTTAACAAATAAACATGATACGTATATACACGAGTCCATGTGCTTTAAACCGTTCTAATCACCGGATTGAAAAGTAAAAGGTCGCCAATACTTGCCTTCTCTTCAGTCATTCACCTCATGACGATTGATGTGTGAATTCACTGGAGTACTAGATGCCTTTGAAGAGTCATACCCACTTCACAGACGACTAATTACTTGCACTTAGACCATTGAAGTTCGGCATGATTTAAGCAATGAATAAACTGATAGTAACCAAAACAAAGAAAAAGCACCCAACAAAACACTCACAAAAACTATTATTATTATTTATTATTTGTCCCTCGGGTTCCTAGTGGAAAATAGGGCTTCAGTAGCACGTCTCCATTGCACTCTCTTCTCTGCACACTTTTCAACCTTGACCCACGACTGTCCACAAGCTTTCATTTCTTCCTCACACCATCTCCTACACATCACCCTCAGATGTCCAACTAGTCGTTTCCCATGCGGGTTCCACTAGAGGGCCTGGTCTGGCACTTGATGTCCCCGAATGATCTCCTCAATGCATGCCCAATCCATCTCAACTTTCTTCGTCTGCATATTTGTTGAGTGATGGGTTCTTCGTTGGTTCGTTGCCAGCCGTGAGTGAGTTCCTTGTTGCTTATTCTTTCTGGCAATCCACCTGATCTTTAGCAACGAGCCACCGTAGGCACTTTTTGATGAATATCTGTAGTTTTTTGGGATGCCTTTCGTAACGTGCAAAGTCTCTGAACCATATAGAAGCATTTATGTTACTGCAAAACAATTTACACTCATGTGTACAAACAGTAACTAAATACTTGAAACAAAATACTCACCGAGCTCGTATCATTCGAATTACGATCCACTTGAATTGCAATCGGTTTCAACTGCCTTTTCTCTGTATAGAAGAAAACTGCTAAAGGTGCACACAATTCTCGGCCACGCTTACAACTGAGTCCTTCCAATATATGATAGTCGAGCATGTACAACCGATTGGCAGCTACCATTTGACGCAGTGTCCAACCCTCCAATTGAGGTTTCAACCAATTTGCAGCCAGCTGAAAACTATAAAATGACAACGCAAATAAACGATTCCACAGTATGCCAACGAGCCAATCTAAGGATTTCTATACATACTCTCAATTACTCAAAGTTTCCACAAAATTTAGGCATCAAATACCAGTGGTAATGAAGATAATGGGTTTTTCTCTCACAATTATCAAGTTGATAAACAGTCAGACCACCGATCATGCGAGAAATAGTTCAGACTAATAAATCATTATTATCCATAAACCTGATGATCTTTGTCACAACTCCTTTCAGCAATCCAGAGATTTCCACTTCCTCTATTGCATAAATGAAGGAAATCGACGCATTCATCCCGAATGCTTTTGTAAAAGGCTACCGTAGTATCATTCCGTGACAGTTTTCATTACACTTTCGTGATAATCAATTCTAACAGATAGATGTTTCTGACCACTTCAAATGATACGACAAATCATATCCAATTGGTGACTGTTCTCAAACAAAGTACCATAACGACAAATATTGCGAGATGGTATCATTTCATAGTTTATCTACAACTGTAATAACAACTAACATGGCTTACTATAACTAAGCAGTTCCCATCACAGTGAACATCAGTTGGAGAACCACTGAGAATCTGAGAGCACTGTACAGTCGACTTGTCGCATTTTACCATCACTTCACAATGGACCAACTTCACGACAACCCCATATCAGAGCACATATTACTATTCAAACAGTAGACAGCAGTTCAATGGTCCACAGTACTCGAATTACGTCAATTTGTGATATACACAATCGATCCTTTATCGAGTCAAAGGTGGCGGTTGATGGGAAGCCGTAAACTACGATGGATCACCTGTTCAGTGCCTACGTGTATTCATTTGTTCTTCAACTGACGCCGATCCATGATAATACAAGACTACTCATAAATCCACAAATCCTTACAAACTAACAAGTGGGTAAAATGTTCCTCAATATTTTGCAGTTATATGCGATAAAATGAAATACTAGTAACAAATCGTTAATTATAAGTTCAGTAATCCAGAGTACACAGAGGATCACAACTCAAATCACACTCATTTCTACTCAATTTGGTCACCAGACATCAATAACTGCTTGGCGCTATAGGATGTTGGATTCCTATTCACTTTCACTACATTTCATCTCATTGTGCCATCTCATAGCCACCCACAAACATGCTCTTCTCGATGGTATAGCATCAGTCTGTCATTTTTACTTACATACATCTCATCACAACTGCACGTAAACTTGTAGATAAGATATACTGTGAAGTTCAATTCACACAATTCCGCTGTCTAATTGTTCGCACCAGAAAAGAAAAACTCCACGCAGATAAGTAAAAAGAAGATACGCAGAAGTTACGCTTCATAGCTGAACAAAACCATTGAACTGTTGACTGAATAATCTGATCACCCCGAAGTGGTAGATTAGCTGAGACAGTATTTATTGTTACAGTGACTCTTCTGTCCGTATGAAGTTCGTCATGCCTATGGTTTATAATGGATTTCCTAAATAATCACCAGTATCGTAAACTCAATGTATGTTACGCATTTCAGCATTCAGCATATCACTAGTATATATTTTACGACCTCCTGAAAATGAAAATTCACCCACAGACCACGTATGCTGGACTAGAACAAAGCCACATAAATGAAGACACAGTCCATTGCAAGTTTGTTTTCGAAATACTGATGTCCGGATTATCATTCAGTTTCCTCTAGTGATTACAACATCAGAAAACCCAATTTATCATTCTATTCACATTCAGGTTTCCATCAAACCTCCAAAGTAAACATTTGTATTCTCATGGTTGTATCCCGTTTGGAAACAATTTCCACATCGTTGTTGACTATTCTCATTCGTGCAGATTCAGATGTCTTTCTCTCTATCACCATTCTGATAACTCACACTTCGCTACAAATAGTATGAATGATAACCTGAACTGATACAGTTTGATATACATTTCTGTCTAGCAGAAGGCTGTAAACCACACCTATTATGGAGGAAACAATAACACGAAGAACCTGGCTAAACCTCATCAGACAGAACGCATCTAGAACCGCATCATAATAAGCCAGCAAACCACAAATTTATGTCTACCGATAGCGCAAACTTACCACTCGTATTTACGCATGCATTCCTAGAAGACTATTGGAAAAGGAAGCAGACTGTTAAGTTTAGTCTTCTTTGTTGATTCAGTTTTCTAAGAGAGTTGAAGGCTGACTGTATATTCTGTTATGTCACTGTTTATAACTCTACACGTTAATCCTGCATAATTTACATCAAACAATCATACTACTTTTCAGTAGCGTGAATTGTTTCTCAAACTGAATGTTCATGAACACGCATGCTCTATAGATTCCCAGCGCAACAAAGTTTGATATCTCAGCTTTCGCCATCTCATTTGGATGACACCAGCATCACATCATTAGGGTTTCACTGCGTAGAATAGCTTAAATGAGTGATGTTATCCCCACCGAGCCTCAAACCCAGTATCCTTCGCTTCAAACAGCATAGCGCCATCATGCTCTAAGCCACTGAGGCACGATAGCCAGAGGTGGAGCGATTCGACCCGGTATAACAACGGGAAATTACAAGTATCACTAAAAACTGATTTCCGTTTCACCAGAGGCGGCTATCGTGCCCCAGTGGCTTGGTGGATAACGTTCTGCCGTTTAAAGCGAAGGGTACTGGGTTTCAGACTCAGTAAGAGCAACATCACCCACTAGGGTGCAGGCATATCCAACTGACGAGTCCAAGATAGGACGAAACGCGCATCCTGGATTCTTCCGCTAGTCACCAAGATCAACATAACATCGTAAATATCCAGCAGTATCGAGGTATCTGCATAGGAGCCCATCTGCCAACAGAGGTCGAGCAATTCGGCCCTGTGTAGCAACGAGAAATTACACGTATCATTACAACGATTGATGTGTGTATATTTCTTTGTAAAAAAAAATATTACACTGAAAAGTTGTACCTGATGTAACATTAACAAGTTTTTGTCTTCTCAAAAACCTCTGTTATCTCAATGTGACATGTCGAAATCATCGAAAAGACCAGAGTAATGAACAGAAAAATATAATGAACCTGGTTACAGTCATTAAAAGTATGACAGGAAAAATACTAAACAGGCTACGCATTGTATTAAAGACTACAGACTTCGAAGATATCCAACGCTATACTTGTTCCAAAAAATCTCACACACCATCGTTTTTATTTTTAATTCCTTTCTTATAACTTCTTATATGCACAGGAAAGTCTTCACTTTCTTATTGTTGTATTCTGTGAGCTGGATTTAGTCGTGGGGCTTTAGTTATCATTCTAGACGACATCAACAGCATAAACTTCAGGAAGAAGTGAACTATAAGGTTTTATTCGCAGCTTATTTCGTAGCTCATCCTGATTGTCTTGTGTGTGATAGGTTGTTACTAACAACTTCATGTCATTGTCTCCATGTTTATTTTGATTAGTTGTCCGGATGATCTGAAATTCGACCCACTTGTTGTTTTTACTGGTTGATAGATTGCGTCAATGTCAATGCCTGTTGATTGCTGACTGGCCTGAATACCAAGCTTCTAAAAATTTTCTGGTACTTTTTGTACTTCTATCTAGGATTTTCACAATTTCCCAGAGCGGATTCGGGGAAATTGGAAACTGAAGTATACAGAAAGCAACTCATATGGATCAAATCCTCAACTACAACAGCAACAACTCAACAGTACAAAATCAGTTGTATAAAAAAAATTGTTCAAAAGAGCGAAGACACACTGTAGTATATCAGCTCTACGGAGAAAAAGAGGAAAACTATATGATGACTGTTTTCCAGAAGAACGACTATCCATCAACACAGCTTCATCAAAAGATGTTTACATAATTCGTCAGCAACAAAGAAGTCAACCTCGAAAACCAGCAAACGGATTGCCCTATCCTACATAAAAAACATCTCCGAGGCCACGCTTAGATTATTAAAGCCTTCTGGAATCGCTGCATCTCATAAGCTCACAAAATCTCTTCAGTCTCTGTTATCCAGGCCAAAAGATACAGTAGGAAAGAATTTTTAGAGGTTTGGTATTCATGTCAGTCAGCAATCAACAGATATATTGACATTGACGCAATCCATCAACCAATAAGAAACAACAAGAAGGTCAGATTTCAGATCATTAGGATAACTAATCGAAACTGACAAAACTTTCGCAGAAACATCCAATCACACACAAGGTAATTAGGACAAGCTACGAAATAAATTATGGAGCAAAACCCTATACCTCACTTCTTACTGAAGTTTGTGCTGATGTTGATGTCTAGAATGACAACAAAAGCTCAACGACTAAACAACCCAGCTCAGAGAACACAACACCATCAAAATTATCCTCCTGAGCTACAAATATTCTCCATCATCTCAGAGTTTTGACTTCATAACTTTGTTGCTAAACCTGCATTCTAAACAACACTATAGATGACTGACAACTACTCCCCCGCTAAAACCTACTGTTGAAACATAATTGTCAATAGTTATCTGAATGTTAATATAATGAAGATGAGAAAAGTAGGAGGTAAATAAAATTCACTTGCCTTTTCGGTAATGTACGACATACTTGAATAGTGAAAGGATTACATCCACGAATACGTTGTGCACCGAAACAAATATCATTCATCATCCAAAACTGCAAACTCTGTACACCGAAAAAGTAACCAGAAACAGATATAGATAATGCATGTTTAAAAAAAATGCCGATTGAAACATTCATCAAAATCATCATAAGCGTTATTATCATTTACAAATTCAACAGTAAAGTAAGTTAAAAATTTGAACACGCCGTAAATACATACTTTTATATCTGGCCCAGAACCCCTTAAAAAGCGAAATTCTCTCGTAAAGTGGTGCTAAGTTGTAAGGATGCTTGAGTCACCTCACATTTCCATAAATATCTTTTTAAATGATCATAAAACCTTTGATAATTCAAGCAAGACCTTTGAAAAATCTCAATGGAAATTCTTATTGGAGAAACAACACGCATAATTCTGCTTGTCATTTCGTTGTTCTTTTCAACTCATGTTCAACTACGACTTGTTTGGTGACGGCTAGTAGTGAGAACTGGAGTGCAATATCGAGATATCGGCTCAAGCAGCGTGCACTCCGAAACAGAACGACTGATCCGGTCCAATATTGAAATTAATAGGAAAATACAGTTAATAATAAAGTAGACACTCAACAACTTCAACCTTATAAGAATGAAAGTCTGCCACAAGTTTTTTTCATCAACTCTATGAAAAAATAGCAAGACCTACTCCCCCTGACGTCCTAACAGCCGACATAACATATAGTTATGTTCACTTTGGAGGTTTGCGATGACTTATTGATTTAAAGCTGATATTTACCACGGACTGACATCAGTTGGAGAACCACTGAACCTCCAAACTATTCAGTGCTTATAAGCGATTTTCTTCGAAATGAAATTTCCCGAAGTCCTGCTGAGAAGCAGTGACTGGTGGGGTAAACCAAGTCGGATGTGAGGACAGGTATTCAGCAACGATCGCCCTATACCGCAAACTGACAGAAGTAAGGAAGTGTGAATCATCTGATTCCGACTCAGAGGCTTAATAGTGGCTTGCACCGCGTGGAACCCGAAGGTCCTGGGTTCGATACTCGGCAGAGTTATGGATGCGCACCGGCAATTCCCACACTAGTACGATGTAGCCTTCTAGTGCTCCCAGGTTTTCAATAGTTCTCCAACTGATATCAGTTCGTGGTGAATACCAGCATGATTATATCATAAAATCACCCATGATTACCTAACTGTTAAGTATAAACCTTTTGGTACCACACTACTATTAAACGAATCATCTGTTCAGTGGCACTGTGGTTCCAGTGAATACTTCATACACGTGCAAGCGTCCATTCATAAAGTTAAAGTCCTTTGAATGAATGAACATAGTTCATAAATGATGGTTATGGTCATTTTAATGTAGCTCAACGGCTCGAAAATTTCTATTAGACAAGACAAAACCATCAAGTTAACATAGAAAACATTACGTTGTTAATTCAGTCCAACTGCCTCATGTCGTATTTGCAACTACATGTCATCACTAATAAGTGTCATTCGACAGAATCGTTAACAATGCATCTTAACAAAATATCGATCTTCTTGTTCAAAGAAGAAATATATTCAGACGGATACACTATTACCCTTAAATTGATGGCTTTGAAAAAGAATCGAAACGATGTCTTATCAATAAAACTTCTAACAGATAATAGAAATTTTGAATCTGCACTATAATTAATGTTGATTACGATTAAACTGAGTGCAGTTATTCATTTTTTGCATGACTGAAATGACTTTACAGAATATTACATCATAAAAACACTAACTTGTGTAACAATTTTGATTTACGGTGAGTTCAGAGACATAAACAGACAAAATCAACCTAGAGCCTCGTACACTAATGCATCACTTCAAGTTGCCACACTTCACAGTAATATACAAAGAACAGGTGGGTAGGAAAAGTGACAAAATTCTGTGAGAATAAAGAATTTAAAGATAAAGGTTAGTGTGAATATTCAAGCTTGAAAATACATCAAAGAGTGAATACATCTGCACCACTGTGAACGATTTTCAGTCATATCACCAAGAATTCTCAGTTTACAGACTTACCTTTATCATGAAGTAGATAGATTAAACGTAAAAGTTTCATAAAATTACTAGACGTGATTCCGGCGGACTGACAAGTCATAATATTTTATTTCACTCCATGAAGTTAACTAATGGTTATTTTTCCACTTTATTTTAAAAAGTTAGTAGTCTAGATATGCCACTGCCCTCAAACATAAATTTTTCCAATTATTTGTGATTTGACAAAATTTGCATGACAAGGGAAAAGCAACTTACCACAGGTTCAGTAATATTATATTTCTTATAAAAGTTTCCAAGTGCATCAAGAGAATTCCAAGACTGTTCATTTGTATATTCTTCAGCAAGACCAGTGCGTTCAATAATCTCGAGAACAAGAGGTTCAATATCCCACTAGAAAATAACTATAAAGAATAACAAGTATCACTTACCCGGGAATCCGAAGAGAACAACTCTGAAGATGGAATTTCCTGTAACTAATTAAAAACTCATCACTAAACCACAAACTAACTAACCTCAACAGGCAGACCTTTAGCACGTTGAAAGAAGGCAAAGAATTGCATGCGTCTACTAACTTCTTCTTCTCTCAATTCCGGAAATGGCTCAAACTGAGGAATCCAAGCTTCACAGTCATGCACAACATATTGATGATCAGGACTAATCCATTGATGGACGGGAAAGAAAAAGTACTTCCACTCAGCAGTCATCCCGAACCTTCTATCCCTTATAATCACTCGGTCCAAAAACCACGCAGGTGGAGGATAAGACTGAGTTGTACACCAAAATTCAATGTGATGCAATCTTTTGAACACCTGCATTTCACAAAAGTTTTTACTATGAAAATGATGGATTACTTTCAAACGACTCCAAGACTGTAAGTCTATGGTGAATTTCGCTTGTGTGTAGTCAATGTCATTTTGGAAAATATTATCCAACGTAATTGTAGGCGACTGGTTACCACAGTGATCAAACATGACCATATTGACTCCAGGACCAAGTTCATCACCACTGTAGTCACCGCTTACAACACATACTTCAAATGCTATTTTAGTAGCTGCTCCTCCCATATTCGTATATACCTCTTCACGACATAACCAGATATTTGTGATAAATCTGGAAATGAAAAGTGGACAAGACAGTTATCTACTTAGACTAACTTTTTTCTACCAAAAAGCCAGTACGTTACAAATTTACATATCCGAGATGAATTCGAGTAGTCATGCAACTGAAAACAGCCTCAAAAGTGATTTTAATAACTCTCCCTCAACTAATGAGCGCCTTCAATTACTGTGGGTAGCATTCAACTATATATGTCACGTGGTATTACACCGTAAAACTTTAAAGTTGGCATTTTTAAAGCGATTACTGGTAGTAAGTAGACCACACAACTTTACAAGAACGCTGATATCCACAAAACAATATGATGGAACTTTGTATTCTCATCTCGCATTCAGGACGTTACGGCATTTCTATCGACTATCGATGAAAAATACCCAAACACAAATAAGGTATTGTTAGTGACTATGAATGAATTCAAAACGAAACAGTTCAGGAGGATATGTCGAAATCCAAGTGCACTCATCACCCATGTGCTCGTTCGTGCGGTAGACAATGAACCATACCTATTATGTGATAGCTAAGGATACTATCCGGCTGCCCCAACCTCAGTAGGTGGAACGAGTTTTGAAAACGCGTTTTACTTGGTTGAAAGTCAACTACCTACACCAATGAACCACAGCTCTACATATATCAGGAAGATATGTACTTTTACCAAACTCACAAGTTAACACTATTTTACTTTTTGTGAAAGTATATTGGACTGGGTGAAACAACAAAACACTAAATATTGTTTATACAGCACCTCAAGACTTCCGAAATGGCTCAAAAACAATCATTTTTAATCTCCATGCTCGTTATACCTACTCGTGCTGCTTTTGGCTAAAAATGACAATAATTCAGTATGCCGCATTAGTTGTTGTATTCTCCTACTTAAGTTTTGCAATAATCCTTGATACATAAGATAGATTCAGAAGAGCACTCATTATTTTTCTTACTATTCACTACTAGAGAAGTCACACAACGCTGCTCATTACTATTTTCAGTCCTGAGGCGCATACAATATTGTCTCAAGTCACTGCGATACATTGCTGCTGTTTTCGATGACTGATACGAGCATTGATGATCAAATACTTAGTGAAGGATAAACATATAATCAATACATCCATAACCGAAATGAGGAACCCAACCTATTTCCTTGAGAATCGGCTTTTTATACCTTTAGTAGTATATGGAGTAAGACGACAGAATCAGCTGAGATTATACATAAAAATTCAGAAAGGGAAGGTACCTTGATCAATGAGGTGGTGAAACTGAACTAGTTGAAGTGGCTAGGATATCCATATCAAACCACCGTCTGCTACGATATTCACTCAAGTAGAAGTAGATTTAAGGGAATCAACAAAACCAACAATTTCCCATTGCATACTGCACATAGTATGTCTTCATCTCCCATTATATTGCCTTGTCATTTGATGTGCTGATATGAGATGTGACAACTTGGATTGCTACGCAGTAATGCCTGGTTTTATGTTGATCTTGATGATGGTGATGATGTACATGATATGAACAGTATTAATGCCCGAAAGTAGCTGAGTGTTTGGTAAACATTTCAAGTACGGCATGCCAGAAAATATCAAGTTAAAAACTACTATTAAATTACACATTTTATCAGAAGTCCACCTCCACTTGACTAAATATGCGGAGCAGCTAACATGAAAATACTGTGGATCTAAACCCCTCGACGATGACCTCAGGGCATCGGTGAACTCACTTTAGTTACCTTACAAGGCTAGGATCAGTCATTTTAAAGCAATATAGAAAACCACAAAATAGTACGTCGACTTACGTTGCTACACTTATCAGAGGCCTTAAAAACGCAGCAGACAGGAAAATATAAAACTGGACCGGAATAAGAATGACTAGGGAGGAAACGAAGGAGCATTTAATAATGAGTAAAACGAGATACCCCTGATTATTTAGTCAATCTATGGAAAACCTGAGCTGGAAGGGTCAAACAGACAACAACAACAACATAAGACCTGGCATTATTGATGAAAGGTTTAAGTTGCCACAGCATATAAGTATATTAAAATTGAAAGCACCAAGATAATAGAGAAATTCGGAAGGATGTAACTAAACTGGTAGAGGGAGAGGAAAAAGGGATGAGACAGTATGACAACTAAGGTGAAGGTAATGTGTAGATGAATTTACACCACTGGTATCGATTGAGGCACATCATCCAGAGTCTCAAATCATCGACTTTGGTTGTAACATCGACCTCAACCGGTAAGTCCGCATTTCTTTATAAGGCTAAGACCAACAGAAAAAGACTTCATGCAATGATTCCATGTTTAATTCTGGCCGTTTTTAGCCTTTCTTCAGCTTAAACTTACTTCAGTTAACATTGCCCAACAGGGTGTACGGTGACTGCGCATACGCAACGCACACCCCAAACATCACTGGTTTACAACCTCATCAACTGATTCACTCACCTGTTACTGAAAACCACACCTGACTTTGCCTTACTGACGCGGTGAACACAGAACATGGTACAAAAGTAAATTAGTACGATTTGCCACACCTTATAACAAACAACACAGGGAGAATCAGACAGACACAAAACCAACGTGGAACATAGCTCAGAAGTATACTGGCTCAATTTGACAGTGTGGTTTAGTGTTAAAATGGTAACTGAAGAGATGAAAACAGGAAGAAATACTGAAATACCGTTTTGTGGAAGCATTTAAAACTTTGAAGATGATATACAGTAAAGCATACCTGCATCATTGTGATAGAGTTCAAGCTATCTTGAGCCAAATCCTAAACGCCTGGATGACCTGAGTTAGATAGCTATACCTCCACATGGTTGGAACCGAGTTGGGAACTTCATGAATTGGAAATCGCCTCTAGTTCTAGGATTTATAGGAAGATAATAAATTGGTCTTTCAAACTTACTATTCCTCAGTTTAAGATGATTATGCATCCCAGAGTTTTAGGGAATATTTGTTAAGCTAATCCTTTTACACCGACCATTAAAGAATTTATAACCTCCCATATAAAATAAAAGACATGTGATCAGTATCAGACTGATTTTCTAGCTCAAACCTTCTCTACTAACTGATCATTCATGACCACTGTTTTGAAAGAGTGCAGCTCAACATCTTAATGCATGTTGATGTCCTGGGCTACGATTTATGAAGTAAGAGCTAGGCAACTACTCGCTTACCCAGAAAGTGTTATAGCGCTGTTCCAAACCCGTATTCACTGCTTGGAAAGTAAGAGAGAAACCCAAAGGACAACACTTTCACTCCTTAAAAGGTTTCGTAAGTAATTCCTCAAAACCTGTTATGTTTGCCGTTTCCGGTAAGATATCAAGTCGAATTGAAATGCTCTCAGCAACACTGTGCACATTCGTGTAGCAGGCGACGAGCCACACCTATTGTGTGAGGGGTGATGATCCTACCTGGCTGCTCGAACCTCGGCAGGTGTTGTTCGAACTTGTGGTCCACTGCTTGAAAGTCAACTGTCTATACCGATGAGCCACAACTCCACAGTCCAATATGATATTATCAAATTCAGTCCCAGTTGGAATCCCCGAAACATTAATATCATGCTTACTTTGTGGTTAGGTAGAAAGCAGCTTAAATGAGGTCGACAGTACGCTCTATTGCCCCTTAAGGTCTCCTATCCACTACCCCAGCTAGCTGTTTTGAATAGATGGTTAACCGATTTCGCTTGAGCGTGATTTTGCTAACTGTCTTCCACTTTCAAACAGTGGAATTCAAACTTTGAACTCTCAACAACCATCACACACAAACACATTTTCTGTTTCATTTTCTCAACCAGCTGTTTTCCGACACCACTTGGTTCCAATCAACGTGCATTTCCCAATAGTTCTGTCTAAACGCCCATCCTCATGCACAAGAATATTCCAACGTTTTACTACTGGGTTGAATGTCTCATTTGAATAAAAAGAACCATTCTAGTATCATGTGTATATGCTTTTCAAGCACGCAATCTTAACTGAATGTCTCACCATCCTGCTGAAGGTAAAACAACCTCAAGAGTACGATTTGATTCACTGGATATCCATTTTTACATTTCAGAAATCCAATGTGAAATTTTTAAGCCATACACCACTAGACTTTATTAAACTGAATCACCAATTGCTTGGTTCTAATAACGAACACGCTGATATTAATAAATAAGCCAGTAAACAAAATGAAGGGAATAAGCACGACAGGAAACACAATATACATGCTTCTAAGAGCACGAATCACATCCATACATACGTTTATACCAGTGTTCATACGCATGCGCATATATATATATATATATATATATATATATATATACAATGACCTGACTTTTGGCTTCACCCGACATTTAGGCAGTAGGACCCAGGTTGCAGTTTCACTACACCTCCATCCAACAGGGTAACAGAGTAGAACCATAAGTACACAGGGAATAAGTGTGACTCATGGCTAACTGCATCCAAAAGTATTCCCTTAAGTAATACAGACTACACAATGCTCACGTAAATCATGTTGCACTTTGATAAATCGGAACTGCCCTTTTGGTGGCTGGAAACGTCGAGGAGAGGCACCAAATACCTGACAAAGAAGTGTGGCTGAAATAACTTTCAGTGATGATCTAGTTTTCTTGCTGTCCTACACGAATAATAAATCTTGACTGAAGAACACAGGTAGAAGTCATTTCCGGGTCCCCATTTTGCGAAAATGTGCTTCATAACAACTCTACCTGGTCAACAAAGACACTTATGAGTGAAACTCTATGCCTTAAAAGTCAGTGGCAATACACAATCTTTTCTAGCGGAAGACAATTGTTTATCGCCATTCGAAAATGTGTTGATATTTTGCATCAAACGACCAATGATTCTCAGATCGGATTATCCAACCTAAATATTTTCCATAAGAAATTGCCAGGAAGCATTAAATTAGCAGATGCATAGAAATAACACATCAATTAACCACAAAATAACTCTCTC